CGCGTTAATTTCGTCATTAGTAATATAGGTATTGCTGACCGGGCGAACTATATTCCGTCTTCAATAACCCGGTATTGATATTTATTAAATTTCTCCTGTTTCAATCGAACAGAATGATTGACATATTAGTTATTTGCAAGTCTAATGTCAAAAAATCGTTTGTATGGGAAATAGAAAAGGGCTGTTTTTATGGTTTTCCCAGTAATGAACCAATTTTTTTCAGCTTTTATACCTTCCCTGAACCTCCACGAACATTTCAAGACTAAGATAAGATTAATCCGTTCAGCTGTTCTCGAGTTTTAGCGAGACTAAAGAACAGCAATCCATTTTTATATACATATATAGAAGATTATTAGATTCTGTGAGGTATCAATTATCATTGTGTATTACTATCATTTATAAACCTATTACTTTATTTATTTCATTAATTAATAAGAATTATTATATTGTTAGTTTGTAATTAGTATTTTTTTAAGTTATTTATTCTGCTGAACTTAAAAGTATTGATACTATTACCGTTAAAAACATATCTAAGACTTTCGCGAGTTTTATTAATTTAAATGAAACTAATATTTTTTGGATATTCACATCGCGTCTGCCCGTGATCATGGTTGCTGTAAAGCAACCGAAACGTCGGGAGTATGTAGTTTTTAACAAAAATAAAACCATAATAACCAAATAATATTAGTTTCATTTAATATGTATGTATATCTGTATTTTTTTAAAGATTTATCTAACACTGCCTAATTGTTTAGTACAACATTTTACTCTATAGTAGTCTGAAAAGGAATTGTTCGAAAGGCAGCCATTTGTTCAATTTAGGCAATAAAGTATAAATAACTAAAACATTTACAGCAAGAAAAATGTTTTTTATAATATTTTCTGATATTTATTTCCAGAACCAATATCAACTCATTCTTGGAACGTACTTCGAAGGCAGCCCTAGTAGGTACTGGACCTTGCATTTACCCGGCATCCGCACGGTAAATACATTTTAGTTTTAAATACATTTAGTTTAGTCTTATTATAATTAGAAAATATATCTTACATTTATTGACAAACACGATATTAATGAAAGAAATGGAAAATTAAGTTTTTAGAATCAATAACCAAAATTTATTTCTAGAGAAAAACGCGTATATACAGTTATATTGTACGTACTAAAACACTGTCATGTTAAAATTTTATCAAAAAAAAATATTATTATTATTTTAATAAACACAAATATTTTCTTAATTATAAACAAGCCTAAGTTACTTCTAATTACATCTATCTGCCCGCGAGAGTTCACTCAAAATCCATTCAGACATTAAAAATAAAGAGAGAAAATATCAAAAATATATTTCAATACATACACTATACAAATTTATAATTATTGAATAAAAAGCGTTTATTTTAATGTAACAGATAGATATATTTGTACCAATATTTGTCACACTGCTTTACTAAGTATTTAATCATTGCTTAATACCTTCTATATTATTTGACTGTACGATAAATACAAACGTCATTACTATCCAATAAATATAATATTTGTTACATACGAGCAACATATTAAAAATTAAATGAACATCGCCGGGGCGACATCGTTGTATGTATAAAATATATAACGAGTGACGCCGCTGACTCCGCGGAACGAACACCAAGCGTGTGAACCAGAAGATTCCTGATACACACAAGCTATGGAATGGTATTGCTATCCTAACATCGGGTCAATCATGTAGTCTTAGGTGTAGGTTATAAGGTTTAATATGTAATTCTTATTTTAATATTCATATAAGTAAGTTTCATAATTTTCCTGGTACCGCCGGTTGCTATCCTATAATTTATTAATAAATAACTATCAAAGCTAAACATTATATTCAATTAAACGAACGAAACCGGGCGTCATATATAACTATGTACTATGTAAAAGATATAATATATATATATATATATACAAGGAAAACAAAAACTTGATTCACAAGTAAAGCTGTTTATCAGTGAGCGGTCGTGTATCAAATAATATTATGTTAAAATTATTTATTATACTATGTGTTCTTTGTTTGTGTGTCTGTGACAACTTACCCTTTTTAGAAATAGGTAAGCTCTAAATCATTTAAAATATACTTAAATCACCTGGATATACCTGTTATAATTCGTTTAACTGTAACAAAGAAGCTTTTATTTGTATAGTTTGAACATTTTAAATGAATTGAAATTATTAGAATACAAATATTAGTCTAATCAAAGTTTTTTTGTACATCATAACTTTGGTTTTTCCTTCGTTTTTTATATAAAACAAGATAATAGCAAGGTCACTACTCGTTTGTGTTGTGACTTCTTGATCTTTAGACTTGATCTGAAATTAATTTGAGTCTTCTCACGAGATGACAGACAGTTACAAAGTTTCGTTTCAACTAAATATAGTGTAAATAATAAAATAAAATCTTTATTATTCAAATTAAAACAATGATAATTCTCTTTTTTTCACTAACGAGCAAAATGTTTAAGAAATCTAGACTTTTTGTATAGTTTTTATCAAATAAATGAAGTTTAAAAGAATGCATTGATACAATATAGTGTTTTTGTTTGTAGGTGAGCTATTTTAATCATTGGTAAGATAAGTAATAAATCAATTTATCATATATTATACATTTATGTATATATACATATTGTTGAAATTATTTAATACATCAAACGGAACGTAATTACAATAATATGTATTCTTGAAGGTGTAATAAAATAAAGTTAGTTGTCACTAAGAATTCAAACTGATTCAACGTGTTTTATTAGGTTATGGGCCCAGTCCTATTAGTTTTTGTTAGCTAATTATCGCGAAAGTTTAATAATTACCAAGTCAAGTGTAATAATAAATCGCAGTAGGATAATTAGATCAGCTAGTTTAACATGGCGGCAAATTACATCGTAAATGTGCCGAAGCTAAGAGGAAGAGAAAATTATAGTGAATGGGCGTTTGCAGCAGAAAACTTCCTAATCCTAGAAGGGATGATGAAATGCATCAAACAAGAGGCAAATGTGACTTTAGCTACAGAGGATGATAATAGAACAAAGGCGAAACTGATTCTTACGATTGACTCTGCACTATATGTACACATTAGAAATGTTTCTACTACCAAGGAATTATGGGAGAAGCTGAGAACCTTATTCGACGATTCCGGATTTACAAGAAGAATAAGCTTACTACGAAATTTAATTTCTATAAGACTCGAAAATTGTGGATCTATGATTGCATATGTCACGCAAATTATAGAAACAGGGCAAAAGTTGTGTAATACAGGTTTTGATTTAAACGACGAGTGGATCGGTTCGCTGTTATTAGCAGGGCTACCTGAAAAATATGCTCCCATGATAATGGCGATCGAACATTCAGGTATTCAGATTACAACCGACGCCATTAAAAGTAAGCTTCTTGATATGGAATCGGAAACCGGAACGAATGAAATGAATGATGGATCGAATGGCGCTTTAGTCAGTTATAGAAGTGGGCAACATTCATCGAAGGCCAGGAAGTCTATGATTGGTAGAAATAACAATCATGGAGGTCAACATGGTGGAACGTCATTGTCAACAAAGGCGAAGAAAGAAATAAAATGTTATCGATGCAAACAAATCGGTCACTTTAAGTCACAATGTACGGCTGAAACTACAAATAACAAAGGAAATGAACGCAAGCAAACTAATGCATTCAGTACGGTCTTTTTAAGCGGAAACTTCAACAACCAAGATTGGTATGTCGATTCTGGGGCCAGCGTGCACTTGACGCCAAACAAACAATGGCTGTCGAATATTTCTTACGAAAAGGAAGGCCAGTCTATTACAATAGCCGACAAAAGGAAAGTGCCGATTGCGTGTTCTGGCGATATAAAGATTTCTACCATAGTTAAACATAACAGTTTTGATGTGGACGTAAAAGATGTGTTTTGTGTACCGGGATTGACAACTAATTTGTTGTCAGTCAGTCAATTGATTCACAAAGGAAACAATGTTGTATATACTGCAGATAGTTGTGAAATATATAACCAGAGAGGTACACTGGTAGCCTGTGCATTATTAAACAATGGAGTTTACAAGTTACAAATTGAAGAAAATGTGTCAGCAGCAGCAATCATATCTGGTGAGCTGTGGCATCGCAGGTTAGGGCACGTAAACAGTGAATGTCTGAATAAAATGCAGAATGCCGTTGACGGATTGACCTTGAAAGAAAAAGTTGACATTACTAAGTCTACCTGTACCGTTTGCTGCGAAGGTAAACAGAGTAGGTTACCTTTTACTCATACTAGTAAGAGAAGCACAGAGGTGTTGAATATCATTCACACAGACATCTGTGGTCCTATGGAGAGTGTTTCCATTGGAGGCTCAAGATACTTTATCTTATTTATTGACGACTTTAGCAGATGGACAGCTATTTATTTTCTAAAACATAAGAATGATGCCTTGAAGAGTTTCAAAGAATACAAGCTGTTAGTTGAAAATCAGACAAATAAGAAGATAAAAATTATCAGAAGTGACAATGGAAGAGAATTTTGTAATGCTGAGTTTCATAATTACTTAAAGGAAATGGGAATAGTTCATCAAACAACATGTCCATACACACCTGAACAGAACGGACTGTGTGAAAGAATGAACCGAACCTTAGTAGAAAAGGCAAGATGTATGCTTTTTGATGCACAGTTAAGTAAAACATTCTGGGCAGAAGCCACCAGCACAGCAGTATATTTACATAATCACACAGTTTCATCTGTGTTGCAAGGAAAAACACCTTATGAACTATGGCATAATGTCAAGCCAGATATCAGCCATCTGAAAGTTTTTGGCAGCATGGTAATGGTTCACATAGCTAAAGAAAAAAGACAAAAGTGGGATAAAAAGGCCAAAAAAAAGGTATTTTAGTTGGCTATGCAGAAAATGTAAAAGGTTATCGAGTATATGACCCAGATAAAAGATCAGTTGTTATAAGTAGAGATGTCATTATACAAGAAAATTTAGAAAAGAAAGTTATGAATGATAACAACATATCAGTTTCAGTGGGGGACTTACTCCCGATACCAGATGTTGACTGTGATGTGAAAAGTTCTGATGAGACAAATAATAAACTAGTCGATCAAGATACTTCTATAGAGTCTGAGTATGAAGATGTTGAACCTGATTTGAATTCTACGTTACAGGAAGGTGAACAGGAGAAAGAACAAGATATAAATAAAAGAGAAAGACGACCCCCAGAACGTTTTGGATATTCGAATTTATGCACTTCATCGAATGAGAAGCTGAATGATCCAGTAACTGTTCAAGAGGCTCTTCAGAGTTCATGTCGAGATTATTGGATTGCGGCTATGAATGAAGAACTCCAAGCGTTTAAAGAAAATAATGCGTGGACTGAGGTGGACAAAGTGCCGTCTGATAAAACAATAATACAGTGCAAGTGGGTATACAAAACGAAATTAGAAAGTGATAACAGTGTTCGTTATAGAGCTCGTCTTGTGGCAAAAGGGTTTACTCAAAAACCAGGTGTAGATTATGATGAGACATTTTCTCCAGTGGTGCGTCACTCTACTCTTAGAATGTTATTTGCCTTATCTGTACAATTAGACTTGAATATTACACATCTAGATGTTAAAACTGCCTTCTTAAACGGTGATATCAAAGAAGACATTTATATGGCTTCACCATGTATGTATTTAAATAATAAAACTGGTAATAAAATTGTTAAATTAAATAAAGCTATATATGGCTTGAAGCAGTCAGCTAGATCATGGTATGAAAAGGTTGATAATTGTTTAAGTGAATTAGGATTTAGTAAAAGCCATCTAGAGCCATGTGTATTTACAAAATTTAAGAATAATGTGAAAATTATCATAGCCTTGTATGTTGATGATTTCTTTGTATTCTCAAATGAAAAGGTGGAGACTGATAATTTAATTGCTGTATTGAGTGCTAAATTTAATATTAAAAATTTAGGAGAAGTACAACAATGTTTAGGTATGAGAGTAAAAATTGATAAAAACTTAAATGTGATAACTCTGGATCAGGAACATTATGTAAATCAATTGTTAGATAAGTTTAATATGTTATATTGCAAAGAAGCTAATACACCATTGGAATATAAGTTGAAGTTAGAGAAAAGTGATGTTTGTGATAACGAAATCCCATATCAACAACTTATTGGTAGTCTTATGTATTTGTCAGTGTTGACACGACCTGACATAGCCTATAGTATAAGTTTTTTGAGTCAATTTTGTAAATGTTATAATAAATTTCACTGGGGATATGCTAAGCGCATTCTTAGATATTTAAAGCTAACCAAACATTTTTGTTTAAAATATGTAAAAGGGACAGCTGAACTAAATGGTTTTGTAGATGCTGATTGGGCTAGCAATTGCATTGATCGTAGATCATATACAGGTTACTGTTTTGTTATCTCCAGGGCAGCTGTTTCTTGGGAGAGTAGGAAGCAGAGGACTGTGGCCCTTTCAAGCATGGAAGCTGAGTATATGTCAATAGCGGAAGCTTGTAAAGAAGCCATGTACCTCAGATCTTTGCAATGTGAAATTACTAATCACATTTATCCTATAGTTTTGTATAATGATAGTCAAAGTGCTCAAAAGCTGGCAACTAATTATAGTTTAAATAGAAAGAGCAAACACATAGATATCAAATACCATTTTGTAAAAGATGCTGTCAAAGATAAAATTGTTATTTTAAAATATTTGCAGACAAATGAGATGCCAGCTGATATATTAACTAAGGCTCTTAGTTCATCTAAACATTATAATTGTGTAAAAGGATTAGGTCTTGTCGAAATGTAATTATATATATGTTTTTGTTTGATGTAGTGGGGGTGTTGAAATTATTTAATACATCAAACGGAACGTAATTACAATAATATGTATTCTTGAAGGTGTAATAAAATAAAGTTAGTTGTCACTAAGAATTCAAACTGATTCAACGTGTTTTATTACATATATATCTATATATATTTATCTCTTGTATTTATTCTGTCAATATAACCTCTAATTTATTGTGAAGAAATAAAATAACTTTATTAATTTTAAGGTTGTAATGGCGCGGGTTCGATCCTGCCAAGTACTATTGTGATTGTTCCGAGTCATATGTACTTTATAAGATTATTTGGACATCACTGACAGATGAAGGAAAACATCGTGAGGAAACCTGGACTTATAATTTACAATTATACATTTGAAATCACCAACACAAAAATTGTATACTCGTCTTTCTTATACGTATATTTATTGTAAAAATACTAAATAGTCATTTCACATTTATATGCAAGTATGTTTAAAAATAATACTTTCTTATTGTTTTAGTAAAAAAATATTGTATTTATCTCTCAAGTATTATATTTATTCACCTTCATCATCATCATCAGCCTATCAAAGCCCGCTGCTGAGGAAAGGGCCCCTTCTCTGATGGAGAAGATTTGAGCATTAATCACCACGCTCACTCAAGTCGGGTTGGTGATTTCAAACTTATAATTTGATATAAGTCCATGTTTCCTCACGATGTTTTCCTTCATCTGTCAGTGATGTCTAAATACTCTTATAAAGTACATATGACTCGGAAAAAACACATTGGTACTTGCCAGGTTTTCAACCCAGGTTTATTCACCTTATTATGTTTTATTCCAAATGTATAATGCATACATTTCTATGAATGTGAATTAAAGTTATATATATATGTATATAGAAAATTTTATGTGTAAAAAACATCATAATTGATATATATATATATATATATATATATATACACATATAAGCACATATATTCATAAAAGTATATCTATAAATAGTTATTACAAAATATCTTTCTTATTTTTGTAATAACTGACACATGTTTTTCTATTTTTTATATAATGTAACATATTAGAAAATATATTTAAATTATAATCCCTACTAATATTATAAATGCGAAAGTAACTCTGTCTGTCTGTCTGTTACGCTTTCACGCCTAAACCACTGAACTGATTTTAATGAAATTTAGTACAGAGATAGAGTTGACCTTGAGAAAGAACATAGAATAGTTTTCATCCCAGACTTTTGAAAGGTTCTCTTGGAAACGCGATATAACCGAAGTCCACGCGGGTGAAACCGCGGGCGGAAAGCTAGTGTATAATAAAAAAAGAGTCACATATACAAGTATTGTATATATATTATAATATATTTATTTTTAATTATATTTTTCCAGGCGACCCATGTTTCATAAAGAATGTAAGCGGGGTTTGCAAAACGATAAGCGAATGCCGTTACGCCAAGAAGTTGGTGAGGGAAGATCAGGTCAAACCTCCTGTGAGTACAAAACTTATATATATAAAGAAAATAAATTATAACTAAATGTAACATTAAGTTTAAAAAACACAATATTAATGATCAAGAATAGATCCTTACCAATAAAATTTTATTAACTGTCCAGAACTAACATTAATTCATTCTTGGAACGTACGTCGAAAGCAGTCCTAGTAGGTTCTTTTCAAATTTGGTTAGGTAGAGAGAGGAGCTTGTACAGTGGAGGTGAGCGTTTAACGTTAGATAGGGACCCCTTAAAGCAACACCTGGGTCACAAGTCCCAGTCACTGTTGAAGCTCCTCTCACTACAACGATGGACCCGACACATGGAATGATGAGAGGTTTCACGTCTTTTATTAAGAATTTATAGATCAGAAATCTTTTCAACTATATATATTCCGCGACTAGGCTTTCATTTGTGAAACATTTAATGTATCATCCATACCAGTTTGGCAGTTGAGAGATGTTACAATTCATTTTCTCATTTTCAATTTTATTAAAACATTATTATGTGATTCTGTACAATAACAAGTACTTTTGGTCAGTTTATTTTTGATAAATCAAGAGGGTTTTCTAGGAATATCATTTAAACTTAATTGTCTAGTGTTAAAAATAAAATTAATTGTGCGTGGAGTCCCTCCGCGTGGAAGAAGTGAAACTTCGTAATAAAATGAAAACAGAAAGGAGTAGAAATTGATTTAAGAATTGTTAATGTTTCTTTAAAACAAACTTTATTAACGTTACTTACAAGTCACTATTGATTGTCCGAATATATTTGAGCGACATTCATTCCCTCTCGCTCTGTCTTTTTAGCACCCAAGCGTTAAACATTTAACGCAACCTTGTTGGAAGTTGCATAAGAAGTTTCACATAAAAATGCTTATATATAATGGTATATTTTATTTATACTATTCCAGACATGTAAGTTTCAAGGTGAAGACAGAATAGTTTGTTGTCCTGAAAATGATTTATTCCATGAAACAGGAGTATTTAAGCATCACTTCGTGGGACTCGCAAGAGGAGTCAAGAAATCTAAGTATATGGTAATATTCTCTTTCTCTCTCTTTCTTTCTCTTTCTCTCTCTTTCTATCTAATTTAATTCTGAGTACATTTAGATGATTTTCATATTAGATGACTGTTAAATTTTCAATTACAGTTTCTAATTTTTGGTACAACGGAATACTGGAAATTGTACTGTATAATTTGATTGTGTATTCCTGATATTATACCATAGATGTCAATATATATATCCCTACTAATATTATAAATGCGAAAGTAACTCTGTCCGTCTGTCTGTCTGTTACACTTTCACGCCTAAACCACTGAACTGATTTTATTGAAATTTGGTACAGAGATAGAATAAACCTTGAGAAAGAGCATAGGATAGTTTTTATGCCAGACTTTTGAAAGGTTCTCTTGGAAATGCGATAGAACAGAACTATACGCGGGCCAATCTGCGAGCGGAAAGCTATATATATATATAAGGAATTATGTCTAAGGCATAGTGAGTTCTTACCTTCATTATTTGGCGATTTAAAACTAACTTTAAAATGAAGTTCATGTTAAAGTTAAAAAAAATGTTTATGATGTTATTGTGTTAATGTTAGGTATTTATAAAATGTTTGGTTATTTTAATTTGTTTGGGTGAAAATGAAAATCGATTTCAAAAATACAAGATATTCGAAACATATCCTGTGTTAAAGTATAGAAAAATATTTGTATACATATATTTAAATTATATATTCACAAAGATGTAATATCTTTGCTGAATTACGAGCCTTTATTATAATAAGAACCAAAAAATATTCTGTCATTTTGTGACTCTAACAAAAAAACATATGACGTCACGACATATGCTTCCTTTTATGTCAACAGATTTTATTTTAAAATAGATCTTTATAGCTTATATTTATTACAAACTAGCTGCGCCCCGCGGTGTTACCCGCTGATTTTCGGGATTTCGGGAATGTAAGGTAGCCTATGTTTATTCCTGGACGTCAGCTTCCTGTATACAAAATTTTATCAAATTCGCTTCAGCCGTTTGAGCGTGAAGAAGTAACAAACATACACACACACTCCCAAACTTTCGCAATTATAATATTAGTAGGATCACAATTTTATCCTTCAATTTTAAGATTTCTTGCCATGAAAGGAGATGGCGGGAGTCAGATTTCTCAAAAAAAATTAAAGGATAAAGGAAATTTTGTTTTAATTAGTAAATATAATAATTATAGACCTGCCGTTACGATGGCTACCAGCCTTTACAATGCTGTGAGAACGCCAAACCTGTCAACATACCACCAGAAAATGTAACGTGTCCAAGTCTCCCGAGACCTCGACTTGCAAAAAAGCATATCGCCTGGACAAGTATGAATCTTTATTTAATAAACACTTTAAAATAATCCTAGCCCATTACTAAAACATAATATTGGAAATAATTTAGGCAGTAATTCCACTGTGTTTAATGCTCCATACTCGTAACAGAATTCCCAGTCTAAAACTTGTATCCTATTTATTATATTCAAAGGTAACATTTAGGTGAGGGTAAATCATACAGAGGACGCTAGTTCCCCTCATAAGAGTTTCCACTAAATAATAAAACACGTAACATTATGTAAAACATGCTAAGGCTCTAATTATTAATTGTTAAACCAATTGTTAAGTATTTGGACATTTAAATTACTGTACAGAAATATTATTAACATTAGTTTACATGTCTTCATTAGACATATTTGCACAAATAAGACACATACGAAGACTGCGTACAAATATTGGGACAAATGCGGCGAATACGCAACGCCAAGTGAAGTGCCACCTTTAGGTTTTCATAGTTTTATTGTATTTTTTTTCAGAATGTGTGGACTACCAGCGTTATATCAACAAGTGCGTGCCGGATCCAATCGACCGAACTCGAATGCGAAGAGTTAATACTTGCGGCATCACCAACTCAAATTTCAGGATTTCTGGTGGCGTTGAAGCAAACCCTAGAGAGTTTCCGTTTATGGTGAGACTCAGAACATCGTGTAGAAATGTACCAAGTAAAAGCAATGGAAAATAAGGTGGCTTTGAAAATAATAATGATTTATGTTTATCTCCTGAGAGTCTTGAGTTGTGAGCCCATGATTGCAAAAATACTGGATGGATTACTATAAAAAAAATTCAGCGTTATTTAATTACACTTTGCCTTAATAAAAAGAATATTGTTATACCACAATACTGATTAGAGTTATAAGAAACGATTTTATATATGTATATGACAAGTTCTATGCTGTGGCTTTACTTGATCATACAAATTTTATTAATATATAAAACAATGCATGTGAAGTTGCGAGTAACAGCTAGTTTAAGAAACATCATTATAATAAGATATATATATACATAATGGCTTACAAGAGGGCGCGAGTTCGATCCTGGCATGTACCAATGTGATTTTTCCGAGTCATATGAACTTTCTAAGAGTATTTAGATATCACTGATTAATGCATTCTCAAAGAGGGTTGATGTCAGGCAGGCGGCCGGTCGTAAAAACAAATAGCCAAAACTATTCACAACATGTAAGTCAGACCCTGGCTAAAGCTGGGAAATAGCCAGGTAGAAGAAGAATAAGATATATTGAGACATAGTGGTTTAGATATAAGATTAAGACAAAGGTTATAATTTATATCTTCGCTGAATTTAGGTCAAAATCATTAAAATTGTATGTAGAAAAAAGTCATGTGACACTAATTTTAACTGTCACTGACGGTCATTTTGTTTAATATCCATTAATTTAAAACACTAGACATTTTTTTGCCATTCATTTTGAGGTCCATATAGAAAAACAGGCAAAAAAAAATATATATATATACAGGGTGACTGGTGAATTACTATCGATATTTGAGGACGTGATATTTGACGATCATATATGACAAAATAAAAATTAATATAACATAAATATTAATAAAGTTCTAAGTAAAGTTAACCAAAAGTTATGTAATTAATTACGCATCGTGTGCACACCCTACAGATTAGGTATACACTCACACACACATACGCGTGCGGCGGCGTAGTGTTGTATCAGCACGCCGCCGCACGCGTCCACACTTGGAACACTTGGAACGTGTCAACACTTTATTTATTTATACGGAAATTTTGTCAAAAATTAAGTACCTATTTTTTTTACATAATTCGAATGAGAATCATGTACCGAGTATTCTCCTTAAATATCGATAGTAATTCACCAGTCACCCTGTATATATATACATATATTTTAAATAAATTCTTAACATTTTTCTTCTAGGCCGTCATCGGCTGTCACAATTCCTTAGACCTGGATGCTGACATCAAATGGGTAGGCGGAGGCTCGCTGATCAGTGAGAAGTTTATACTCACAGCTACTCACATACTGAGTGAACCGACTTAGTAAGTGATAATAACGAAAAAAATTACTTGAAGATCATGTTTATAAAAGCTTTTTTCGACCAGAACTAGATTTAAAATGTTGAATAGAGTTTAGATCACTACATTGATATTTCATTAACGTATTGAACTTTTGCAATAAATTAAATCCAGAAAAATAATGTTTTGTTCAAAATGACTTAACCGATGTCCTCAAAAATAACACTTGTGAATCTCCAACAGAAAAAACCATAGTTTTGGACTTATTTTACTATAAATATGATTCCATTTACCTCCCAAAACAACTGCAGATGAAAGACGTGGGAACCTACCACTAGCACACTCCCAAGACCTCCATGAACTCAGATTAAAGTCACAACCCTCAGCATTGAGGTATCCTACGCAAGGAGGAGGATTCCATATTCATGAATAATTTTCTTTTCTTCCAGTGGTCGCGTACGGTACGCGTTGCTCGGTACTCTGAATAAAACAGACATAAGGTCCGGAGTTTTGTACAATATTGTCTCCATGATCGCGTACCCCGATTACAACGTACCCGTTAAAGCAAATGACATAGCGCTTCTGGAATTAGATAGACAGTAAGTTTCTTGCTTATTTTTTTGGCTACATATTTGTCCATAAAAATCTACACCTAGAAGAAATCTTGCTTATGAAAGAGAAATCTTAGAAAACATTTTTTTGGAACCCACGATTTAGTTGTTATAATCTAAGTACCTCATATTTAATACTTTTTAGACTATTTTTTCAATATTTACAATACAAATGGCAGACTCATTCCAACAGTAAAGTTATTCGTATTCAAAACCTCCTTAAATCTATTTAATTGTCTCGTCAAAAACTTTTATAATATTAATTAGACAGTAGCATTGATAACCATTCAAAAAATACTCAGATAAGAGCGTAATTATTTCAAATATTTTTATTTCTAGGGTGTTCTTCAATGAATTTATTCATCCTGTCTGTCTCCCCGTCCCGGGCAGAAAGATTACAGAAGATGACTATATCGTAGCTGGTTGGGGAGAAACCCATAACAGGGTTAGCAGTGACGTCTTATTAACTGTGAGTAATCATTATCTATACAGGGTGACTGGTGAATTACTATCGATATTTGAGGACGTGATATTTGACGATCATATATGACAAAATAAAAATTAATATAACATAAATATGTATTAATAAACTTCTAAGTAAAGTTAACCAAAAGTTATGTAATTAATTACGCATCGTATGAACACCCTACAGATTAGGTATACACACACACTCACACAGACGCGGCGGCGGCGTAGTGTTGTATCAGCACGCCGCCGCACACGTCCACACTTGGAACACTTGGAACGTGTACACACTTTATTTATTTATACGGAAATTTGGTCAAAAATTAAGTACTTATTTTTTTTTACATAATTCGAATGAGAATCATGTACCGAGTATGCTCCTTAAATATTGATAGTAATTCACCAGTCATCCTGTATATATAAAAATGAATTGCTGTTCGTTAGACTCATTAAAACTCGAGAACAGCTGAACGGATTTATCTTACCTTAGTCTCGAAATGTTCGTGGAGGTTCAGGCAAGGTTTAAAAGCTGAAAAAAAATGATTCATTTCCTGAAAAACCCTAAAAACAGCCCTTTTCCATTTCCCACACAAACATCTTCTTTGACATTAGATTTGACAACTAACTAATATGTCAATCATTCTGTCGCACTTCAGAACACGGAGATTTAAGGCTTATAGGTAAACTCCAAAAAAATAAATAAGACAATTCATTTCTTGATTGAGGCAGAATGAAGTCTGCCGGGACAGCTAGTCAATATACATATATATATATATATATATATATATATATATATATATATATATATATATATATATATATATATATGTCATACTTTTATTGAAGTCAGTGGTGTCCTAGTGGTTAAAAAGCCCTCCTCTCAAGCACGAGGCGCGTGTTCGATCCTGGCCCAGGCAAATACCAATGTGATTTTTCCGAGTCATATGTACTTTCTAAGAGTACTTAGACATCACTGATTAATGCATTCCCAAAGAGGGTTGATGTCAGGCAGGCGGTCGGTCATAAAAACAATTAGCCAAAACTATTCACAACATGTAAGGCAGACACTGGCTTTAGCAGCGAAAATGCCAGGTAGAAGCAGATATATCATACTTTTATTGATAACTTTATTATTAAATAAAGCCATTTTGGTGAAAATAAACTACACTTGTATCACAGAATCATAGACAATTTATATTTATTGACCACAGACTACAGATTTACATCAAGTATTAAGTATATTATGAACTTAGTATGGAAAGGCAAAATTTTATAATTAAAAATAAACAGCCAATTAATCTAAACCAAATTAAAAGCCCAGATTTTAATGCTATCGTTGTACAGACGTTGTTTATAGATATGGCCTATAAAGTTTTGCTATAATATTTGCTATAAGCTCCAAGGTCCATATTCGAGAATTTTGAACAAATTAAACTGTCACAACTTATGTTTATTAATTTTTTAGGCAAGACTGCGACGTACCGACGAGTGTAAGACCAAAATAGTAAGAAAAGATTTTGTTTATTCCGACGAAATGTATATATGTGCTAAAGGAAAGGTGAAAAGGGGAGTCTATCAAGATACCTGCCAGGTTGGTTCATTGCGACTATTGGGTTGTTGAAAATTAAAATAACAACTTTTTTATTTATTTCAAAACTTTAAAGTAAATTATATTAATAACTAGCTTTCCGCCCGCAGCTTCGCCCGCGTGGAGTTCGCTTATATGCGTTTCCAAGAGAACCTTTCGAAAGTCTGAGATAAAAGCTATCCTATGTTCTTTCTCAAGGTCAACCCTATTTCTGTGTTAAATTTCATTGAAATCAGTTTAGTGGTTTAGGCGTGAAAGCGTAACAGACAGACAGACAGACAGACAGATTTACTTTCGCATTTATGTATAATATTAGTAGGGATTGATGCGAAATAATTGAAAATCATTTTATTATTAATTAAAAATTGATATCACATGACTTAAATGCACCACAATTGGTCACCATGCTTATGACGTTATAATGTTAAAATCATTTGATGATACAGCATCAATAGCTTCTATCAGTGTATCAGCTGTACAATGAGAAATTAATATTGTCACACGCGCTCGGATTTACTCGGGAACTGTCGGCGTTTCTATACTGGATTCAAAGATTTATTTTTAATTTGATCTCTCTATAACCTACTAAAAGACTTGGGCCTGTCCAGAACTAACATTAATTCATTCTTGGAACGTACGTCGAAGGCAGCCCTGGTAGGTTCTTTTCAAATTTGGTTAGGTAGGGAGAGGAACTTGGACAGTGGAGGTAAGCGTATAACGCGCGTTAGTTAAGGGGTCCCTTAAACCTACACCTGGGTCGCAAGTCCCAGGCACTGTTCAAGCTCCTCTCCCTGCAACGCGATGGACCCGGCACCCGCACGGTGAATCCATTGAATGCTAAGAGGTTTCGTCTCTAACTTTTTAATTAAACCGTAAAAAATGTTGCAATAATACTTATACAGGGTGACTGGTGAATTACTATCAATATTTAAGGAGAATACTCGGTACATGATTCTCATTCCAATTATGTAAAAAAAATAGGTACTTAATTTTTGACGAAATTTCCGTATAAATAAATAAAGTGTGTACACGTTCCAAGTGTTCAAGTGTGGACGCGTGCGGCGGCGTGCTGATACAACAATACGTCACGACACGCGTATGTGTGAGTGTCAGTGTATACCTAATCTGTAGGGTGTTCATACGATGCGTAATTAATTACACAACTTTTGGTTAACTTTACTTAGAAGTTTATTAATATTTATGTTATATTAATTTTTATTTTGTCATATATGATCGTCAAATATCACGTCCTCAAATATCGATAGTAATTCACCAGTCACCCTGTATATGATCATTCCATTTATCTATTTTTTTTTTCAAAAACCCAATTATTATACAAGTACCTAAAAAAATATACACAATTGCTCTTCATTATCATTAAACCAATTATGTAAAAGACACCTTAATTCATTTGTCATTTATAAATTCAAAAACTTTGATATTATAATTTGCTAGTGTTCCTGAGAAATAAGTCTTAATAAATGAAAGTTGCAAACTTGAGACGCAAAAATTGTGGTAAGATGGTTATGACGAAATAAGAAACCATTGATTACCTAATTTCGGAAATCTTTTTGTGCTTATCAAATATTTTTTACGCTCTTTAGAATTAATTTCGATCGCATAAAAAATGTATATTTAAACCTTCTCTATGTGAGAAGAGGCTTTACAGCAGTGGGCTCTGATAGGCTGATGATGATGATAATGATGATCTATCCCTACTAATATTATAAATGCGAAAGTAACTCTGTCTGCCTGTCTGTCCGTTACGCTTTCACGCCTAAATCACTGAACCGATTTTAATGAAATTTAGTACAGAGATGGAGTTGACCTTGAGAAAGAACATAGGATAGTTTTATCCCAGACTTTTGAAAGGTTCTCTTGGAAACGCGATATAACCGAACTCCACGCGGGCGAAGCTGCGGGCGGAAAGCTATTATGTAATAAATTCTACATATATATCCAATTTATTTTTCAGGGTGACAGTGGAGGTCCCTTATTGTCTCTGATGACAAACATAAACTGCTCCTACTCCTTGGAGGGTATTGTCAATTTTGGACCTAAATGTGGCAAAGGCGACCCGGCCGTTTACACGAAAGTGTCCAACTATTTGGATTGGATAGTTGAAAATGTGTGGCCCGACGAGGTCAAAAAAACATAATAAAATATATATCATAGGACTATTACAATTTTTGTGAAAAATAAGCAATGAAAATGACATTTTTAATACATGTTGTATTGAAATTAAAATTTCTTTTATTCGTACTCGTATTCATAAGATCAAATGCTCAAAAAGTTTACTTAATACACAAAAGTTTTTGAGAATAATTTCTCGTTGTGATTCGTGGAAATATTTTTGAGTTTATATTTATGTATATTTTCAGTCAGTGGTGGCCTAGCGGTTAAAAGGTCCGCCGCTCATGCATTTTTATGTTTGGACATCAAATATTTTTGGACATCACATATTTTGAAATATTACTACAAATAAAACAAACCAACTTTTAAAACCATATATTAACAACTATTCCATAATCAATTCCTTTTTCTTTTTCTCTTTCTCGTGTTTCTTTGAATGCAGCATCATTTTCGATCTCGTGAGAAACCTTTTGTAGCATGATTCGCACTTGTGTGGTTTATCGCCAATATGCATTTTGAAATGCATAACTAAATTATTTTTTTGGGTAAAACTTTTCGAGCAGAGTTCGCATTGGAACGGCTTTTCTCCTGTGTGTATTTTCTCATGCCTGTCCAAATCTGCTTTTCTGTAGAAGGATGAACCGCACGCCTTGCAATTATAATTCTTTATACCTGGATGTGGAAGTATTTTTTTATTGATTAGATTTTGCCGAACTTACAATGTCTTATTCCATTATGGCAATTCATAATTAAAAAGTGCAAAATTTTTAGCAAAATCGATTCAACGGTTTTTGGCTGAAACATTTACAAATAGACACAACCCTCCATATACATTAAATTGCAAATAATAAATCAATTTTCAACAATTAGCTATCATTTTAATTAATAATGTCAAATATTAGTTCCATTTTAACGCATAGCTGTTAGTTACTTTTGTGATCTAGAATTCTGAGGAGCTTGAATTAGATATAGCTTACCTTTATGCGACAAGCTGTGTATGCTCAAATGTCCAAGCTGTGTGTATGTTTTGCCACACGTCGTACACATGTAAGGCCTCTCTCCAGTGTGTGTTCGTTTGTGTTTCTTTAACTCATAACCAGTTTGGAAAACTTTACCACAAATATCACATGGTTTAGGCTCTTTTGAAGTTAAACGCCTCCGTCGCTTTCTGTAATGTATAATTTTAGTTGTATTATATTTTATAAGCTACAAAATAGACCAATATGAGGAGACTTCCAAATGGTACTATGGGTATGCTTTACTTATTTGGTAGAAAGACCTGTTTCTTTATTTTTAGTCAATATTAAGATTTCTTTTATATATATGTAATACGGTAAAAGAGAATATATTTATTTATTAATTAGATCACTAACAAAATACACACTAAAAACATTACAGATACATGAATAAAAAATAAGACTAGTGGTATCTTAATTATAGGTGATAGCATGCACAAAATAAAAGTTAAGCTAATTAAATAACAAACAACAATAATTTAAAATAAAGATAATAACTATCTTAACTAAAAAATTTAGAGTATTTATAAATAAGATTTTATTTTTAAATTTTTTCATATTACCGAAAATTTATTAAGCATTCTTGCACCAAACGAGGCAATGTGTCTTGTAACATAGAGCTGTCATTGTTTGAACTTTAAGAGAACCATTTAAGATTTTTTGCATTTCAGATTACTAATATGATATACAGGGTGACTGGTGAATTACTATCGATACTTGAGGACGTGATATTTGACGATCATATATGACAAAATAAAAATTAATATAACATAAATATTAATAAACTTCTAAGTAAAGTTAACCAAAAGTTATGTAATTAATTACGCATCGTGTGAACACCCTACAGATTAGGTATACACACACACACACGCGTTTGGCGGCGTGGTGTTGTATCAGCACGCCGCCGCACGCGTCCACACTTGGAACACTTGGAGCGTGTCCACACTTTATTTATTTATACGGAAATTTGGTCAAAAATTAAGTACCTATTTTTTTTACATAATTCGAATGAGAACCATGTACCGAGTATTCTCCTTAAATATTGATAGTAATTCACCAGTCACCCTGTATACATATGTACAAGTAAATAATCCTTATGTGAATTCTTACTAAAAACTTTCCATATACATATGTTCTTAGAAAAGAGTTAATGGCAGCTTTACACTACTCAGTTACTAATTTTATCAGTTCAGTAGAGAAAAACTATTAAGTATGTCCATCCATCAAAACGGATACAACGAGACTTATTAAGTTACAGTAGGACCTCGATTATCCGGACTAATTGTTGTCGGTAGGCATCCGGATAATTGAAAGTCCGGATAATCCATTATATGAAGAAAAACGGGCTTTTTGCATATGTACATATGTAGTCTGTACCATACATATGTAATGTTAGGTGTTTATTTAAAACAACAAATACATATGAGCGAAAATCAACGTTTATTAAGAAATTGTACATAATGTACGTATAAGTGTTATAAGTAGGGCCCGGATTAATATGTAAATACATATTTTTAATTTACGCGATTTTCGGTCCAGAAAGTGTTTTTTACACGGATTGTCATAGGTATTTAGACTGTGAAAAACCAACTTTTATTTTCCATATTTTACCATATTTCAAAGTTAAGTCCATATTTTACAAGAAAATGTCACAATCATCCATATATTCACAAAAAAACATAAAATTTACGTTCCCGCCACTAATGTTTTGGGTAAAAATAAAGGATTTAATACGCTAAAAAAATTAACAAAATTCTGTGCGAAAGTTTCGAGGGCTGTAGACATGGCTTACACAATTACTGAATTAAGTATGCTTAAGTATGCATCCATCACGTCATGTGAGTGGAGAGATCATACAGCAAATATAAGGCTATATTTCGACCAAATGGTCAGTTTTCATTTTGATAACTTAAAGAAGGACGTCATTGTGTATTGCAACCAATTTGATAAAGCTAATGTAATGGAAGTTGAATAAAACTGTTATTTTTTGTTGAAATAAATATTTCACTCCTTTTTTTCATCGTTTTTTAAATGTTTCTTAACGATGTACGTCACGAGTGACCCTTTCTTATAGTAAAACAATGTTTAATTATGAAATTATCTAATTATATACTCCATATTTTTTCCATATTTTTTGATTTTTTCGTCCATATTTTATGTACATATTTTAGATTTTTTTGATACATATTTATCCGGGCCCTAGTTATAAGTGGCGTGGCGTTCTGAAAGTTCTGATATGTTAATGTTAGAATAAACTCGTCGCGATTGGCAGTCCGGATAATCGCGAATTCGGATAACCGAGGTCCGGATAATCGGGGTCCTACTGTATATGTATATAATTTTGATGAAAATCTTCTTAATAAAATTAATTAATATACCTCTCTTCATATGGTAATAAATGCAGGTTATTCAATTGTCAGTGTACAATCTTTCTAAATAGAATACCGGGGCAATGATGCTGCCTAAACTACACCAAATTCTAATATAAATTGTAGCCTATGTTGTATTATGATGTTTGATCTACATTATTGTACAGTTTCATTAAAATCTGATTAGTAGTTTCTGTGTGGAAGTTATACAAACATACATACATTTTTGAAAAGTTCAGTCTTTATATATGAGTAAAAACTTCCTTTTGAAGATAAATTAACTCAATAATATATAGTTTAATGTTATAAAAATATATAAGTATATAAAACTCCAAATTAAAGATTAAAGATATTAAAATATATCTTTTGTTTATCTTTATTATGTACACATTTTAATATATGCAACTATTACCGTCAACTGATTTTTAAAAATATTTTATGTGGAAAAGGCCTATAAGAATTTCAAATAAATAGTATTGATTATATTTAGATCCCAATGGGCAAATTCAAATGATAATAAATATGAAATAGGTCAACTTTAACTAAAACTTTTACATAATCACTTCTATGAAGAAATATTCTGAAATAAACCAAATTATCATAACTATTAATATTATTTTACTAACTTTTTTATTTCCTGTGAATCGTCATCGTCTGATATTTCAATAACTTCGCATTTAATAACAATTTCTTCAGCTGACTCTTCAGTTAAATCTGCCATAATTTATCTAAAATGTAATGATAAAAGAATTATGAAAAATATGAATATTTCTACGATATAACTAATATTTATGGATATTATAGTATCCTCATGATAAATAGACATTATTAGAAGTGAATTTTGTGCAGAAGGCAAGGGGAAACCGGAAACCACTGCACTATATTCCTAAGAAAGTCATCATCAAGTTAGACGAGTGGCGACGTGTTGTGAAGCGTGCCACCGCACATCATGATGACCACGATCGTTCTGCCAAGAACGTATCGACTTACAAGAAGAAGATGTGAATTTACCTTATAAAATCTTTGAAAAAATAAATAAACGTAAAATAACATATAATAACAAACACTCACGCAATTTGTTTCACAATAAATGTAACGCCTAAATAATATTTCTATGAATCCATGAGATTATAATTATTGTAGACAAAAATATATAACATTAATTTAGTTCTTTTTTTTTTAAACCGTGTTTAATATAATGGCTTTAATATTTTGAATCTTGTTTACTCACTTGAGAAAAATTCAATACTATCATCTGTCAAGATTATTGTCATTTGTATTTTTTATCACTGGCATTAATGCTCTCCTAAAGTATTGGAAACACTTTTTATCAAAAAATATGCAATAAAGTTAAAGTAATAGTATAATTTTATAATTATAAATAATTTAAAAAAAATGATTTTATTAATTTGTTTTTAATATAAAGGTATTCTGTGATATCATTTTTACGCTTAATCAATTATACATTTTGGCATAATTATGACCTATTTATTGTATTAACAACGAATAAATAAATTTAAGAAATAATTTTATCTACAAACATCACATCGTGTTCATGACAGGTCTATTTTAATTTGCAAATTACGTAAATATACAAACAAGTATGTAGGTAAATCAATAAAAAATACTCCAGCCGTATAAAAATGACTGCGTTCCGCGACCTTACAGTGATATCCGACCAATTTGTGAATACATCTAGTTGTTAATAAAATCAAGGTGTGTTTATGTGTCTTCAATATGTCTGGGTTTTTCTTAATCAGGTCGAATGATGTCATACAGTTGAAACAGCTTATTTTAAATGTGACGTAGCCTATCACCTATTTAGTATTTCCACATTCGATACTGAACGTGAAGTACGGTGGAGTCGAATTGGATTATTGTGCAGTGCAATGGCTTACTACCCCCACAGAACCGCCGGTAAGTTATAAATAGTAATTATTTACACATAAACAAATGGATATTCATTAATAAATAATAGATAATTTAGATAATTTTTGTATTTGCTTAAGCCGGCATATTTTTTTTTATAAAACGAACGAAGATCTTATACGTACTTATAGTGAAATATATAATTCTATTTTAATAATTATAAATTGTAAGGATAATATTAGAAAATATATTATTGTTTTTCGTGATGAAATTAATAGATAAATTATTATATTATTTATTAATTTATCATTATTAAGGTGTTAAACAATATAAATAGAGAACAGCTGTTTTCGATGATGTCATCCAACGTTTAGTTATTGCATCGGCCACACGCTTGCAATTTGTAAAGTGCATTTCAATTCTATTCGTTTTTATAAATGAAGTAAAAATTAGTTTTAAATTTATTATCATAAAACAATATCAAACATAAAAAACGAATTAGAAAATTACATTTTAATAATATTCTTTCGTTTATTCATTCTGAGAATGTTCTCACCCTAGTTCTTTTAACAATAGTAATATTATTGTTTAAAATAATTTATTGCAAGAAATATATGCGTATTTATACTGTTAAAAACTAATCCCTACTAATATTATAAATGCAAAAGTAACTCTGTCTGTCTGTCTTTTACGCTTTCGCGCCTAAACCACTGAACTGATTTTAATGAAATTTGGTACAGAGATAGAGTTGACCTTAAAAAAGAACATAGGATAGTTTTTATTCCAGACTTTTGAAAGGTTCTCTTGGAAACGCGATATAACCGAACTCCACGCGGGCGGAGCTGCGGGCGGAAAGCTAGTATTTAATATAACCGACGATTACTAATTGCATTCAACATTTTTATTCAAAATAATAATTGAATATAGACGAAATAAAACGGAGAATTAAAAAAAATCCGGTTAACAAGTAATCGTGACTAAATTAAACAAATAGCATGTCATATCTTGAGATAAATTAATATGTAAGCCTCGTAAACAGAAGTCTGTTTGTGAATTTATTAAAAAAATAATGAATGAAGTCCCTCCCCGTTTAAGAATTGAAACTTCGTAATAAAATGAAAACAGGAAGGGGTAGGAATTGATTTTTAAGGAATTTTTAGTGTTTTTTTAAAACAAACTTTATTAACATAACTTATAGTCTAAGATCCGGCTGCAGAATCAGTGTACCCATCGAGTGTTTGCTGAAAACCAAATTTTTACACATATTCATGATTAGGAGAATTTATATCCACCAGGTTGCCTATCAAAAAGTGGCCGCTAGTATTTTTAATTAAATTATTAATAATTCATAATCCGTAAGAAATTTCACTGACTTTTTTTTTCAATGAAATGTCGTCTACTTTACGGCAACATCTATAAAGACTCTGAAAAATTATGGTTGCCGTTGCGCACCTGGCCGCACCTCTTCGCAGCCGGTATACACAGGTATGAATTTGTTACATTTATACACCCACAACGTACATTTATAATTTATATATGAAATTAAAGCAATTTTTTTTCTGTATATTATTATATACGGTTGCTTAATTAAATCTGGCCGCCAATAAGGGTTGCTGGCTAATAAATATAGTAAATCCTCCGATTCAAACAATAGTAGGTACGACTCAAAATAATAAATACTCCAAAAGAAACGTCTTTCTTTTCTAAAATAAAAAATTAAAAAGTCAATGACAAATTTAAAAATTACAAAAAAAAATTAATATTGATGATAAATTAAATCAAGGTTACTTATGTAAAAAAATTGTGTTGTACAAGTACTGTATGAAAAAAGATTTAATTTTATTCAATTATTACATTTATTTTACATATTTATCAATCATTAGTTTAAGCAAATTATAAATTTTTAAAACTATAACCTATATTTTTTAAGTTCGATTAAAATTTTACTTAGTAGGTGGTAGAGCCTAGCTGTAGTCAGTTACTACAGCTCGAACATGGGCTGGCTCGACCGGGGAAGTACCACCCTCTCACAGAAGATCGGCGTGAAGTAGCCATTAATGGCTGCGTTTCGTCCGATGAGTGAGAGAGCCGGTTGCCCTTTCCCTATTCCTACCCTTTCCTACCATTTCCTTATTCCAACCCCTCCCTATCCCTAAAAAACAAGGTTGGCAAAGCATCCGTAACAAAGATGTTGCGGATGTCCATGGGCGGCGGTTACCACCTTCCATCAAGTGGGCCGTCTGCTCGTTTGCCACCTTTCACATAAAAAAAAAAAAAAAAAAAAAAAAAAAACTTACGGTTTGTGTCTTGCAAAAACTTTCAAATTCTTCTTTATCTTTTTGCTTTAAAACTGTAATTTTTTTCAAACAATTTGTATGATATCCAAAATCATCGGTAGATTCAAGTGTTAATAAAATGTCATGATATTTATATTTTTTCTTGCGACGAAACAATAACATTAGAGAACACTTTTTGAATGAAGCATTATCAAAGTCTAGTACATTGCATTTTTTGTTACACAGGAAACACGCCTTCATCCTTATAAATTTTATTTCACTTAAATGAGATTGATAATTTTTCGATGCACAAATAAAACAGCAATATATTATGTTGTGTATTACGTACTCCAAACAGCGTGGTTTCGAACTTAAAATAAAAATCACAACTGATCCGTTGAGAACACTAACATCTGACGCATGCGCAATGGCTTTAAACCGTCCGACAGCTGGCAATCGCTATCCTCGTCTGACTAGTGGTGTTACGCGCTAGCTCTCTTTCACTCTACTTTTAATATTTACTATATTTATTAGCCAGCAACCCTTATTGGCGGCCAGATTTAATTAAGCAACCGTATATAATAATATACAGAAAAAAAATTGCTTTAATTTGATATATAAATTATAAATGTACGTTGTGGGTGTATAAATGTAACAAATTCATACCTGTGTATACCGGCTGCGAAGAGGTGCGGCCAGGTGCGCAACGGCAACCATAATTTTTCAGAGTCTTTATAGATGTTGCCGTAAAGTAGACGACATTTCATTGAAAAAAAAAGTCAATGAAATTTCTTACGGATTATGAATTATTAATAATTTAATTAAAAATACTAGCGGCCACTTTTTGATAGGCAACCTGGTGGATATAAATTCTCCTAATCATGAATATGTGTAAAAATTTGGTTTTCAGCAAACACTCGATGGGTACACTGATTCTGCAGCCGGATCTCGTACTATTAGAAGTCACAATTGATTGCCCGCGTGCTTTCGAGCGACACGCATTCCTTCTCACTCTGTCTTTTTTATCCCTTTTCCTTTGTTAAATGTTTAATGTTTAACGCAACCATGTTGACAGTTGCATAACAAGTTTAACTTATTTAATATAATTTATTATCTGCGTCAGATACTCAATCAAATTATTGTTTCCTTACAATTGGTTTGCAAAACCAAAACAAAAACGTACACTTTGTAGTATTTCGTTGCTAAATCTTCATATATATAGTTATGTAGAGAGAGGAGCTTGTACGGTGGAGGTGAGCGTATAACGTTATATAGGGTCCCTTAAACCTAAACCTGGGTTACAAGTCCCAGTCTCTGTTGAAGCTGCTCTCACTACAACGATGGACCCGACACACGCACTGTGAATACATTGAATGATGAGAGGTTTCGTCTCTCTATATATATTAAACCTACACCTGGGTCACAAGTCCCAGTCACTGTTGAAGCTCCTCTCACTACAACGATGGACCCGACACACGCACCGTGAATACATTGAATGATGAGAGGTTTCGTCTCTCTATATATATTAAACCTACACCTGGGTCACAAGTCCCAGTCACTGTTGAAGCTCCTCTCACTACAACGATGGACCCGACACACGCACCGTGAATACATTGAATGATGAGAGGTTTCGTCTCTCTATATATATTAAACCTACACCTGGGTCACAAGTCCCAGTCACTGTTGAAGCTCCTCTCACTACAACGATGGACCCGACACACGCACCGTGAATACATGGAATGATGAGAAGTTTCGAGTCTGGCATTTGAGTCAAACTCTATTCTATCCGTAGGTATTTAGTCTGGTAGTGCAAACTGTTAGTCGTATGCTCATACTATAAATCTGTTTCTGTACTTCTTCATATATTTAAAGTTAACTATGTATTTGAAATTATTTGATAGTAATTATTTGTACTAAAGGTACGAAATTTTATTAATCGTTGCCATGGCAACGGAAGTAGATAACGCACGGCCTTGCTTTGTGTTCTAAGATAACGAATTCATATGTTTTAGGACTACATATATCGCGTTTCCAAGAGAATCTTTCAAAAGTCTGGAATAAAAACTATCCTACGTTCTTTCTCAAGGTCAACTCTCTACCTCTGTACCAAATTTCATTAAAATCAGTTCAGTGGTTTAGTCGTGAAAGCGTAACAGACAGACAGAGTTACTTTCGCATTTATAATATTAGTAGAGATTTTATCAACACGACTCGACCAAGAAAACAAGAAAATCCTTGCATAAATGACAAATGTATGAACGGAAGTATGGTTCCTTTTATAGACCTTGCATTGCTTGCTATGTTATGTAAAGATTTATCTGAATAAGTAGATTATTTTACGCCAAGTTATGGACAATTACTAGTACATTTGACGTCCATCGTGAATTATATAGGGTGGCAACCAGATTCCAGGAAAACTACGAAACTTACTTATATGTATATTATAATAATAATAACATATTAAAACTTATAACCTACACCTAAGACTACATGATTGACCCGATGTTAGGATAGCAATACCATTCCATAGCTTGTGTGTATCAGGAATCTTCTGGTTCACACGGCTTGGTGTTCGTTCCGCGGAGTCAGCGGCGTCAAGAGTTATATATTTTATACATACAACGATGTTGCCCCGGCGATGTTCATTTAATTCTTCATTGGTTACTCGTATAAATAACTTTCTTTGGTAGCAGGTAATCCGACAGTTTTCGTGAATTAGAAAATTATTATTAATAACTTTTTTGTATTTAAGTTTTATTATATAATCTTCTCCATGTGAGAAGAGGCTTTGCTCAGCAGTGGGCTCTGATAGGCTGATGATGATGATTAAATAGAGATGTAATTGTTCTTTTATTACATTGTTCTTATGTATTAACTACGATAATAATGAGCTGAGTGTCGTAATGAGTTTGCCTTGACCCAAATTGATTGTGTTAAATGTTAATTAAGTAGTTTTCTCTTCTGGATTTTATGTTCGATATGTGTACCTTAACGGGTAACTTTGATAAATAAGGTAAGGTAACTAAGGTAAATTTAATGGTAATATATGTTTTTAAGAATTATAGTTAAGAAAGTAGATCGAGAATAGATTCTTTGGTGGTTATTAATAAAATGTTTTATTAAAGTTTTGTTTACATGATCCATTATATGTGTGTGTTTGTGTGTGCATGTATGTCTGTGTGTATATATGTGTATAAATTATGTACCATTGAATGCAAGAAATCATTTTTATTTTAGAAATGGCCTCAAAAAATACCATAATACTAATTAATTTTGAATATATTAACCAAATTGCTGGACAAATCACATTCTACGTTTAATATCTACGTATGGACGTATATACTTACGTATTTATCTACTTCATACAGACAGAAGTGAAAAAATTCAGTAATTATTGTGTATAAAGTAATAAACAAAAAATTATGTCAAAACGCTTGCTTCATACTAAAGGTCACTGACCTCGACACGAAAGTAATCCAAATATAATTTTTATCAAACAATACTCTTATCAGTCATTTTGATGAGTAAAATACAATTATACACAAATATGTATACAGGATGACTGGTGAATTACTATCAATATTTAAGGAGCATACTCGGTACATGATTCTCATTCGAATTATGTAAAAAAAATAGGCACTTAATTTTTGTCAAAATTTCCGTATAAATAAATAAAGTGTTGACACGTTCCAAATGTTCAAGTGTGGACGCGTGCGGCGACGTGCTGATACAACACTACGTCACGACACGCGTATGTGTGTGCGTGTGTGTATACCTAATCTGTAGGGTGTTCATACGATGCGTAATTAATTACATAACTTTTGGTTAACTTTACTTAGAAGTTTATTAATATTTATGTTATATTAATTTTTATTTTGTCATATATGATCGTCAAATATCACGTCCTCAAATATCGATAGTAATTCACCAGTCACCCTGTATATGTGTTACGTACGCGTTACATATGAAGAAATAAATGAACATCGCCGGGGCGACATCGTTGTATGTATAAAATATATAACTCTTGACGCCGCTGACTCCGCGGAACGAACACCAAGCGTGTGAACCAGAAGATTCCTGATACACACAAGCTATGGAATGGTATTGCTATCCTAACATCGGGTCAATCATGTAGTCTTAGGTGTAGGTTATAAGTTTTAACATGTAATTCTTATTATAATATACATATAAGTAAGTTTCGTAGTTTTTCTTTAACCCCCGGTTGACTATATAATTTGTGTGTGTATAATTTTAAAGTACAAATATAACTATAGCCCTACGAATTGTCGATTAATTGAAACAGTAAATTGCTCCCTAGCGGATAAAACTATTACCATGCCTCAACTGGCAGGCCGCAATTGAATCTCTTCAACTATCAGTCATTCCCCCTACAAATAACCGTGATTAGTTTATATTAATTTTAGGCTTATTTTAACTCGTCTCTCATAAATAGGTACGTAAATTTTATACACTATTTAATCTTATACACTATTTAACAACTATTATACGTCTACAAACTATTAAAAATAAAGAAACATTCAAAAGTTCTTAAATTATAACAAAATTGAAATTGAAAAATAAAATCTCTGATAATGTGGGTAGCTTTCAAATTACTTGACAAGTAGCGACTTTATTGTGACATTTAATGTAAACAAATATAAAAATGATTAGAAATCATTATGTAGTAATATTATATTTACTATATATACTAGTTATATGACCCGTAACTTCTTGTACATCTCAACAAGATATTTTTGGCCTACCTCCAGTATTAAAAAACGAAGAATAAAATTAATTTATCATTAACTAGCTTTCCGCCCGCAGCTTCGACCTCGTATAGTTCGGTTATATCGCGTTTCCTAGAGAACCTTTCAAAAGTCTGGGATAAAAACTATCCTATGTTCTTTCTTAAGGTCAACTCTATGTCTGTACCAAATTTCATTAAAATCAGTTCAGCGGTTTAGACGTGAAAGCTCTAAACCGCTGAACTTCCAGCTCCAGCTTCTTAATTAAATTTCATTTCCAAAATATAATATTCTACAATATTATATCATGTACCCACATTTAAAGATATGATCGTCTCAATTTTCCCAGCTTTTTGTAGCAAAATATCGTTTTTTACCCAAATTTTTTGTTTCCCAGGTCCCACACAACCTCCACCGCTGACAGATAAACTGCGCCTATACCATGTTGACATGAACCCGTATGGTCATAGAGTGCTGCTGATTTTGGAGGCGAAGAGAGCCAAGTATGAGGTCTACCGACTGGACCCCCTGAATTTACCGCAGTGGTTCAAAACTAAGAATCCTAGACGTAAGTTACTCCTTTTCTTTTTTTTATGACTAGAAGTCCTGGCGAACTTCGTATCGCCCTATAATCAATAAATATCTATTACGTTTTTTTATTTATATTTTTGGAGTTTAAATGTTAGCCATAAATCTCCGTGTTTTGAAGTGCGACAGAATGATTGACATATTAGTTAGTTGTCAAATCTAATGTCAAATAAAGCGTTTGTATGGGAAATAGAATAGGGCTGTTTTTATGGTTTTCCCCAGTAATGAATCAATTTTTTTCAGCTTTTATACCTTCCCTGAACCTCCAAAAACATTTCAAGACTAAGATAAGATAAATCCGTTCAGCTGTTCTCGAGTTTTAGCGAGACTAAGGAACAGCAATCCATTTTTATATATATTATTTTTATGATAAAAAGGGCAACTGAGCAGAGGACCTACTTGATGCAAATAGAACCATCGTCAATGGATATCCGTGATATCTCTTGTTGCGGATGTGTCGCCACCTTTGATTAGGGAAGAAGGGAGGAAAAACTGTTAAAGGGGAGAAAATAGAAAGAACAACCGTTTCTTTCACTCATTGAACGAAACGAAGCCATTAAAGGCTGCCTCACACCGATCTTTTGTAAGAGGATGGTACTTCCACGGTCAAGCCATCCCATATTTGAGCTTTAGTAACTGTTTTTTTGTGCGCACTGGACAAAAATGCCTTATCCATCTCCTTTCTGTTGGGTGACAGAGAGGGGTATGTGGGTTTCTCCGGGGAATAGGTTCCCGGTATACCCACTAAAAGAACCCAGTGGCGCTCCGACCTCGCCTGACTGTCAGGGGGCTGGGAATCCGCTTTACATCCAGCCCTTCGCCAGAGAGCTAGTAACTTGACCACAGCTAGGCTCTACCACCTCTAAAGCTTATAGCATACGTCCTATAATGTTATTATTTTATTGGAATCGTTGATTGTATTTCAATTTCATATAAAGAGTGTTGCTATTTTTCTTTTCCCTCCCTTTCCTCTCTCTCTCACACAATCAAGGTCGGCAACGCATCCTCAAAACTAGATTGCAGATGTCCATGGGCGACGGTAACTACCTTCCATCAAGTAGGCCGTCTGCTAGTTTGCCGTCTTTACCATTTAAAAAACATATTTTCATAATTATTATTAATTTTCTTGAGAAATTAATAATTGACTTCAGTAGTTGTATATAGTATTTTTTGCGTAATTTCCACCAAAAATACATTTTCACCTTGATTCTACTGTCCTACACATTCCTAGGCAATTTTTATGATTGAAATTGATAATTCTCTTTGTCAAATCTGACAATAAAATCCTCCATAGTCTGTACTATATTTGTGTAACAAAATAAAATAATACATAATTATTTTCTATTTTGCAATTTGCAATACCAATTACTGATCAATTAATTATGTTTGGAATTTCAGTGAAAATACCAGTACTGGAAATACCCACGGATCAAGGAGACAAATACTTGTTCGAGAGCGTCGTCATTTGTGACTATCTGGATGAGAAGTATGCACGGAACCCGCTACATTCTAGGGATCCGTACGTCAAGGCCCAAGACAGATTGCTCATTGAGAGGTTCAATGAAGTGAGTTATATATAGAAATTTATTAGTTCCTACAATACAAAAACTCCTTCAAGATTCTAATGGTATATTTAGGAGCAGAAAAGTATTAATACGTATGGCAGTATAATCTTCTTTAATATTATAAATGCGAAAGTAACTCTGTCTGTCTGTCTGTTACGCTTTCACGCCTAAACCACTGAACTGATTTTAATGAAATTTGGTACAGACATAGAGTTGATTTGAGAAAGAACATTGGATAGTTTTTATCCCAGACTTTTGAAAGGTTCTCTTGGAAACGCGATATAACCGAACTACACGCGGGCGAAGCCGTGGGTGGAAAGCTAGTATATAATAAAGTGTACATAATGAAAAGATTATATGTGTTTAAATGAAACTAATATTTTTCGAATTTACTACGCGGATTTTTATTTTTGACTATAAACTACATACTCCCGACGTTTCGATTACATTACAGCAACCGTGATCACGGGCAGACGAAATATATGTATCCGAAAAATATTAGTTTCATTTAAATGAATAAAACTCGAAAAAAAAATCTTAGATTTAATTTCATTATAAGTATATGTATCATGTTACAATATTTTTTAGTTAATAAAAGGCAGCCTAGAATGTTTCGACACAAACTTCGCGTACGGCGGCGAGCAGATATTTCAAACATTGGACATATTTGAAAAGGAATTAGCTTCTAGAGGTAAAATTACATTCTCCATCAGTTATAATATCAAAATTGCTAATGTCTACTTAAATATACATATATTGTGCCAAAAAAGTTAATAATTCCATCAATATGAATTTTGCGACGTAAATATGTCTAATGAAGATTTTCCTTTGTGCCAGGTACGAATTATTTTGGGGGTCATTCACCCGGTATGTTGGACTATATGATTTGGCCGTGGGTGGAAAGGCTGTACCTTTTAAGATGTGTCAACGAGAGGAAATTTGACGAGAAACGAACGCTTTTCCCCAATTTCGTAAGTTCTTCCAATTACTATTATTCCCCCTATAAAAAATGAACCAGGATAATTACAGAAAAATATTGATTTGTTGCCAAAAATAGCCTCTTCATAAAAAAGTAATTTCACAAACAAAATCTACTTAAAAATATTTCAAGTGTTTCGAGGAAAATGAACATAAATATAAAGTAAATTTAAATTAACTGATTAATAAGCAATTCTTTATATCAAAAACAAAAAACGTTGTAATTAAAATAATGACATCATGCAAAAAAACTGTGAATAAAAAAAAATCATAAAATATATCCCAAAGTACAATAAAATAACAAAAGTGGCGTCGAAGGCAGCCCTAGTAGGTTCTTTTCAAATTTGGTAGAGAGAGGAGCTTGTACGGTGGAGGTGAGCGTTTAACTTTAGATAGGGTCCCTTAAACCTACACCTGGGTCCACAAGTCACAGTCACTGTTGAAGCTCCTCTCACTACAACGATGGACCCGACACACGCACCGTGAATACATGGAATGATGAGAGGTTTCGTCTCATAATTATTATAATGACATTACAGGCGGACTGGGGTGATCAAATGCAGTTGGATGAAGTGGTCAAGAAGCATTCCAACTCACCATCAGAATACTTCGAGTACTACAGGAACGCACGTACTCACTCCATGGGTTACTACTTATAAGTTAACAAGGACTAAGGTACATATTGTGGAGGATAGTACAAATTCGCGTATCTACATTGGAAGCAGATTAGAAGAAAGTTTAAGCTGAAATATTTGCTAAATTAACGACTTTTAAGGTAACTTTTTCACAATTCATAATTATTTAGTGTTAGTTTATTACTAATTGTGAAAAAAATTACCTTAAAAGTCGTTAATTTAGCAAATATTTTAGCTTAAACTTTCTTCTGATCTGCTTCCAATGTAGATACGCGAAATTATCCAATGCTAGTTACGCATTTGCACTATCATCGACTATATATAAAATTATGTTAATCTCATTAAATTTGTATTTTATGTATTAATAAATACATAAGTAGCATTTTGTTGCATTATTTGGTATAATTTATAACAAAGATATACATATATACCTTGTATATACATGGTATTTTTCCAACAAAACTATAATTCGATACCTCCCACGTAAGTTGTTGTATATCCAAAACTGTAAATTTACAGTAGAGCGTTTCAAACATTCAAATTTAACCAAAATCTGCAAAATTTGAATATTACAACATTAGGTATGCATCTGACAAATCCTTTAAAAATAGTGTTTTTGTTGTTTTTTTACTTTGAAGGGATGTAATGATCCATAAAAGGATATTTTTCAGAAAAAAGCAAAATAGCAATTTTGTGGCATACAACAACTTATGTGGAAGATATCAAATATATATTATACGTGGTGTTTCTGTTAAAATGTATTCTTATAAATACCAATCACATAGATGTCACATTCACACTTTTTTAAATAATTTTGATGTCTTATTCTTATATCTAAAGATTGTATGATTAGCAGAAATCTAAGTTAGGCATTATTAAGTTAGAATAAGCATAAGTATTCAATAAAACTTAATTTTTATGTTGTATATTTGATTACATTTCTTGAGTTTTAACATATTTTAGACTATAGGAATCTTTTCACAAAAAATCATCATTTTTTCATATAAATATAATATGTATATTGTAAATAATATGTGTTATATGTAAAATACATAAGAAATCTTATATCTTTATATGAAATTAAAAGTTAAGAAGTTTGATCAAATATTATTAAGTTTTCCATACATATGTAGTTTTATTAACCATAGTAAGGCTTACCATACTTACATAATCACAAATGGTTGATGTCAGGCAGGTGGCCGGTTGTAAAAATAATGTAAGGCAGACCCTGGCCAATGCTGGGAAATTGCCAGAAAGAAGAGTAAGGCTTATTTGATGCATTTTCAAATCTCATTATATTTTTCTCACTATTGTTATATATTTTAATGGAACTCAATCCTTCGCTTTGTATTTAAGTTGTGTTTTTAAAAGAAATTATATGTTTACTGAAAACTTAGTTTTTTGTGTACATTTTATATCCTTAGTAAGAGTTTCTATGGATGAACTAAACTACAGTTTCTATGTTCTATTCTTTACTACAAATTGTATGTTGGTAAACTTCCAACTGACAGTTTCAAAGTTTAAAAAACTTACTAAGGCAAAATTATATATATAGTTACGAATAAATGAAATCAAAAACTAAGTTTTGGTTTTTATATTTTTTATATTGTGTGGGTCTGATCATTATGATTGTTTTATAATAAAAAACTTTATTTACTTCTATCATAAACTTAGTTATGTATTTAAGTACTTAATTATTATGGGAAATTAACATTCGTTTTAGTTTCTTCTGTTGTTTGTTTGTTCTGTTGCTTTCTGGTGTCCGGATATGTGATATCCTGTGATTTTTTGTTTAATTTAAATAAACTTTGATAAGTATGTACATTTTGTTTGAATTACAATACCCTCTTTATTTATAGAGTAGTAAGAGACAAAATGTATTAGGTACATCGTTTTGAAATAGATCTGATACTAACTTACTTCTGAACTAATAATAACCAAATATATCTAAGGACCGTCGCAAGAAAACTGGTCTTAAAATGAAAGAAACGTCATCAATATCGGTCTATCCCTTTGAGAGATATGTTGATATAAACACACACACAGATTTCGACGTCAATCATACAACATCCCTCTTACTGTGTCAGGTATTAAAAATAGTTTTATTGATAGTTAAAACTCTTATTCTTGATTTGTATGTAATATTTATGCATAAAATGGAATTTTAGTAAGCATGCTGATATTGAAATATTTATATTTGTTTTTGAATTAAGCAGCTAATAGTGGCAGTAATGAATCTCATCGTATTTCCCCCTGTACACAAGATTATAGGTAATTCGTTCAACAAATAAAGACTTTGATATTAGCAGAATATTCCACGATTCCCGTGCGAATGAAGCCATATTTAAAAAAAAACCTATAAAAGTAATCAAAGATATTGAGGAGGATGAGCTGCTGAATAGTTGAAGTTTTTCCATCTGAATACATAAATATCTCTGCCTGTCTAATTGAAAAGTTACTTCTAAATAAATAATATTAAAAATACATTATGTTCTCTTATGTTAATCTATGGATATCATTATTATTATTAATCATTTCAGTTATTCAGTGAAATTTAAGGTTTTACTATGCTCAGATTGTATTTAAAGAAAGTGACATATAAATTAGTTAAATTAAAACATAAAAATTATATTAGATGATATCCACAGTTCATTATAACAACTATTATGAATTATATGGGAAATGTTTTTGGAATAAAGAAAATTAAGATAATTTAAAAGATTTTGTATATATTAATAAGCAGAATTACTTAATGGCAGCACCGGTCTTGTGTCAAGTAAATTCTCAAATCGTAGACGTCACTCGTCAGTAGGTAAATTGTAGTCACTGTGCAACGTACGATGAGTTAAATTCAAATAAAATATATTTTTCCATATAAAAAAACACAAAAAAAGTGAACAAAATGCCTCTCATGCGGTCAGCGAGTTATAATTTATTCATGGAGATCTCACTGCGAATTATACTCCTCTCTGTTTTCTGGTAGGGGTTGAACATATGTTGAAATCGTACCTATTTGTATATAAACATAAATAAATTTTTGGATATGCATGCAATATATGATACATGCATAATGCATTTTCCATATAACTTCCATAATGAATAAGTATTACTTATAGTATTTTTAAAATTAAGACTCATTCTTTTTTCATCGAAATATTCTACAAATTATGACATTATTATATTATTAGCATTAGTCTTGGTTTATTCTTAAAATAAAGGTTATCCATTATTTTATAAATACGTGGCAGACAAAAAACATATATTATTTTAGTTGAATGACTTATTAGCAGACACTGGCTAAAGCTGCGAAATTGCCAGGAAGAAGAAGAATACTTATTATAAACACAATTTTTATTGCAAACTTAAGTATAGTCATGTAGATAGCAACAGAATTCAGTAATTAAAATTGTGCATATTTTAAGTAATGAATACTTAAGATATTTATATATTTACATGAAAATACATATTAAGATTGTATTTTTTTGTTATTTCAGCTACTATAACTTTCTTTACCTGTATAATTAAACAATTTCATACGTAACACTTAAAAAACCTGACACATACTTCTATTAATTACACATAACACGAATTATACATACATGTGCAAATAGATTGATGAAATTTTTATGATGAAAATATACTAAACTATTCAACAAACTCATCTATATCATATTTGGGAACTGTTATTTAATTTACATACATACTTATATATATTGTTTATATTCCAGTTACATGGAATCAATGAGCCCCTTCATCCGTATCATTCAGCCGTTTGAGTTGGAAAACGACTGTAAATATCCTCGTCATGACAGCTATGTGCCCAGCGGTATGCTGTGGTCCATCGTTCTGTCTGTACCTTGTATACTGTCGTTCATAGCGTGGGCTGTTTGTAACGATTGCAACGATGCTATGGAGGTAAGAAGATATATAATATGTTAATATATATATATATATATATGTTAAATAAATGGTTGTAATCAAATTGTATGTATATTGAAATCTCTTTTTGATGGTAATTTAGAAACATTCTGGGTACAAATATATATATTGAGAGGTTTCATCTCTTGTATTGTCTATTGTATATGTGCATGCGTGTATACACACTGTCTTCATTTATTCTTTCTTATCAGTATATTAATGTTATAATAGATAGACTTTATTTTCTGATAAAATCATTAATGTGAATAGTTGATTATAATTGAAAATGGTCTCTGTGTGTGTGAAATCATGCATATGTGTAAGAGTGTGTGTTTCTGTGTTAGTATGTATGTTTCATTATGAGAGAGCACATTCAAGCACACAATAGTAGTTTTACTATAAAATAGGCTTTCTTTCTAGGAGTATTCTACAGAAATTTAATTCATTTTGCATTATTATAGAGACCATTTTAGTGGTTTCGTAACAGAGTTATTTGTTAACTGTGAGAAGTCTTTGCTATATAACTATGCTTTGTTTCCAGTTTCTGCTCGCGTGGTCTCTGTCCCTGGGTATAACTGGTGTTACAACGGACACAGTGAAACTGATAGTTGGTATGTATAAGTATTTTATAAGTATGTTTAACAATATAGCTTAAGTTTCTTTGTTTTTATGAACATTGTTACATATTTAATTTGATAATATACACAAGTAGTATATGTGAGAGCGAGGGGATCCTCGTGGAAGAGACCAAGAGCCTAGTACCTTGAAAGGCTTTCGGGTCCGGGCGTTTAGTATATCGGCGACGTAGCACGGGTTTCCATTTTAAAGAAAAGAGGGTCTTTACTTATAATGTTACTCGTTTATTGCTTAACAAATTCCCACAATGACTCAAGAATTGTTTAGCAGAGATTCTACCAGAGTGACCCCTAAGAGCGACCAATGTAGAATTAATTCAGTATGATTATGCTCGGCCTTTTATATGGTAGATTCTGTTTTACAATTGTAGGTACTTGAACAAAAATAATCACCTGATATTTTGTTAAGACTATTTACATTGATGAAGTGGGTAATTTGAAAACATTTACAATGGTTTCTTAGAACAATTATTAAAACTTAAACGAATTCGCGGAAAGGCTTATTTTCTTGGTATGACGAATCTCCCGGCGCGACACGGCCATACTGACGGTTGGTGCGTGCTCAGCGCCAACGTCTCGCTATCATGAGGAGTTGAGATCCAATCAGAGATGCATCAAATCTGAAATTATTATTATTTTAATTACTTTTGTAGTTGCAGAATTTTGTTGATGTCGTGATGTGCATACACTACACGTGTCATGCCATCTTTTTGTAGATTTTTTTTTTTTTTTTTTTTGTAGATGTGATGTGCATACACTACACGTGTCATGCCATCGGTTTGTAGATTTTTTTTTTTTTTTTTTTTTTTTTTTTGTAGATGTGATGAGCATACACTACACGTGTCATGCCATCTTATTTTAGATTTTGTTTTTTTTTTTTTTTTTTTTGTAGATGTGATGAGCATACACTACACGTGTCATGCCATCTTTTAGTAAATTTTGTTTTTTTTTTTTTTTGTAGATGTGATGTGCATACACTACACGTGTCATGCCATCTTTTAGTAAATTTTGTTTTTTTTTTTTTTTTGTAGATGTGATGAGCATACACTACACGTGTCATGCCATCGTGTTAGCAGAATTTCATAGATGTGATGTGCATACACTACACGTGTTATGCCATCGGTTTGTAGAATATTGTAGATTTTGTTTCCGGTGCTATTCATAAGCTTGTTGTCATCACACTTATCAATATGCGACACTGCCATCCGTTTGTGGGTTAGCAAACTTTTGTGGTCATTCCTGTAACATAAGTATAGCGATCATTATCAAATAGAAATTAAAAATCTCGTAGGGTTTACTAGATTTTATGAGATCCAATCCCTTACTATTTTAAAACATAAAGTAAACAGATATTGCAAGTTCTTACAATCGAGTGACTACAAGACTACTCATGAATACTTAAGGCATCCTTAAGTTATTTAAAGATACAACAAAACCGTGGTTAGCTAAAGGGTAGCACATGATTAGCATAAAGGTGTAACACTCCAGATCTACGGTGTTTACATGTCTCCTCACGGTTCCACAAGGCGTCCCTTCGTTATTTCATGGTTCTCTTACGGATTCATCAAGGACCTGTGGTTAGCTCAAGGATAGCACGTAATTAGCTCAGAGGTACCACTCTTTGGTGTATACGTGTCTTCTTACGACTTCACAAGGCATGCCTACAGAATCTCATGGTTCTCATATGGATACGAGGTTAGCTTGAAGGTAACACGTGATTAGCTCAGAGGTAACACTCCAGATCTGTGATGTACACTTGACTTCTGATAGCTCAGCAAGGCGTCCCTACAAAATCTGATGGTTCACAATTCACATACGGATACATCATGGTTATGAGGTTAGCTTATTATTAGATTATTAATATTAGAGTATTAACACATGTTAAACTCAGAGGTACCATTCTCTGAATTTCGTATACCACAATAGACGGTTATTGCGTCAGGTAACGCGGCACCCCGAAGCGAGTCACTGTTCCCGTCGTGGCTGATGGAAACTGGGCTGTAGAGGCCAGTGGTTGAAAGCGCAGCCTGTTCCGATCCCCATTTGCTCGGCTAATACCTGACTATACGGCAAAAATATTAATTCCAAAACTATGACATAAAGTTTTATTCACTCCTATCAACTTACTACCTCCTCAACGATTATTTCTTTTGGTGTATCGAAACAACCAAGTAAATGCATCACTTGTTCTAAAGTTGCCAAAATACTATAGTGGCTTTTGTCTATTCACAATATAGTAACACGTATTTATCTATTTATTTATTATCTCAATTTTGTACAACAATAAAGTATTATTTTTATACCGTATTCATCTATAAATAAATTCAATAGTTTTTAATTCTTCTTCAATCATTTATTAGACGATTAATTTTCTAGACCAAGCTAAATGATACTACATCTCTTTACACTTTATTTCGATCTGGCAAAAGGTTTAACAACCGATTTTTTATCTGGCAAATTAATTCTGAGCCTTTAGATAGTTAAATATCATGCTATTCAATTCAACATTGCCGATTGGCACCGTTTAAACAACAATAAAAATATCTGGTAATAATAAATTTATGTTGTGAATAGTTCAATAAAAATAATAATAATAAAAAAAAACCTTCTTAAAATGATTTGAAATAATAATTTGTTTACCTGCACAAGTACGATGCACACTTAGGAACGTAACCACTACCGGCAGCCGTATGACGTCCAGGAGAGTGTGAGAGATAGCATATCTAAAAACTAGCCTACCTGAAATTCTTGTTCAAAAATGTTGCTAGCTCTTAGAATATATTTGACATAGACATGACATGATTATATTTAGGATTATGTGTTCCTGTTATTAGTTTGTAGTTTACCAGCAACGGACATTTAGATAACTTCAAACGGTGATGAGTGTTGTATATGGGATGCAACCGGAATTGTTCTGAAACTGATAAAATATGGATTAGACAATCTATTTATAGAAGTGCGAATAAGACTTATTTTCTTTTTAACCAATAGGATTCGTTTATTTTAAAGAATATTTTCCTCAATCCGACATGTCATTCTTTGAAATTAATAGGATTCGAAATAAAGAAGTTAGCAATCTGTAATCTAAGACGTTACCTATATTCAACACATAAATCAAATTTTTTAAGAAAAACGTATCAGAGGTAAATACATGAAAGAAAATCTACTTCGTACTTAGATCTTTTCGAAGAATTAAAGACTGTTAGAATTTCTTACCATAGAAGTTCTTTAAAGAGTTTAAAATTCCTGTAAATGGTAACTATTTTCAACATTACTTAGTACTGCCTCGTAACCAAGAGATCAGTATTAGTAGGTTGGAGGTTAGAAATAAAGGAACGTTAAGCCGACATTTGACTTGGGTGTATTCGGAATGTGCGCTGGCAATATGAAGATATTGACAAGCTGTCGACGTAAAGACGTGGTACCGACTTCACCACGTTCCTAGGGTTAATCCATTTGCATCCGCGTGGTCTGATTATTTAGAGTTGATAATTGTATAACCGTGACCTAATAAATTAGTGTGAAATAGAAGCCGTATTTGTTAATTACAGATGAATCCAGACGAACGCCCCTCTCTTGCCTGTTAAGTATATAGTTCTATAGGATCGTTTTATTTAAGTATGGAGAGAACAGGCACAGCCGTTCAGAAGTTTATTATGATTTTACAAGCCATCTTGTGACCTGAGTTTCAATTTTCACCTTTGGTTAAAGCTAAAGAGGTGTCGTGAACACTAGAAAAATTTGAAATGAATTTTTGTAATACACCCTGCAAGACCGTTCAATAGTTTTTCTTTGTTAATGATTCTGGAAATACATAGGTGATTTTATAAAATTTTAAGGCTTTGTGGAGTAGATAAATATTTAAATCTTTATAAATAATTATTACTAACACTATATTTAGTTTTTAGACACCTTTATCTAAAGCGTGTTCTAATTTTTAGAACAGTATGTACAAATGGGCTTCATTGTCACCTCGTACGATACGAGTACATATTTACAATTAGCATTATTGTAGAAATAGCAATCTCCTTAGGACTGACATTGTTTTGGATCTATTACAAAATGAGCTAGACCTAATCGAAAGGTCTTTGTTTGAAGGGATACGGGAGGTTGTTTTGAAACGGGAGGTCCGTTTTGGATTAGTAATAGCAGCCACAGAAATTATTATAGATACGGTGAGAGTACTTAACTTTTGTCACCTGCATTTCCAATAACTCGTGCAGAGTTGTATGTCGAACCAGGCGATTTCATGTAGACGATCCGGCGGTTGAATGTGAAGCGTGAGACGTCCTCGCTTCTGATGTGAGAGCGAGGGGATCCTCGAGGAAGAGACCAAGAGCCTAGTACCTTGAAAGGCTTTCGGGTCCGGGCGTTTAGTATATCGGCGACGTAGCACGGGTTTCCATTTTAAAGAAAAGAGGGTCTTTACTTATAATGTTACTCGTTTATTGCTTAACAAATTCCCACAATGACTCAAGAATTGTTTAGCAGAGATTCTACCAGAGTGACCCCTAAGAGCGACCAATGTAGAATTAATTCAGTATGATTATGCTCGGCCTTTTATATGGTAGATTCTGTTTTACAATTGTAGGTACTTGAACAAAAATAATCACCTGATATTTTGTTAAGACTATTTACATTGATGAAGTGGGTAATTTGAAAACATTTACAATGGTTTCTTAGAACAATTATTAAAACTTAAACGAATTCGCGGAAAGGCTTATTTTCTTGGTATGACGAATCTCCCGGCGCGACATATACATATTTATTTATTACATACTTGAAATCTATAAGAAATTGCTGTTTGTTTCTTAGTTATCTATTGATATAAAAAAACAGTTCATATTTATTTTTAACTAGCTTTTGCCGCGACTCCGTCCGCGTGGAATAGTGACTTACGGCAGATTTTTGGTTCTTCCCACATAGTTCCCGTTCTTGTGGGGTTTTCGGAATGGTCGAGTTCCCGTAGAATTTTCAGGATAAAACCTATGTTTCTTTTATTCACAATGAAGTACTCTTAACCAACAACATATTTATTTGTTTATTTGTATAAAGATTAATATTATTATGTTGATACAACTTAAACAAATTATTTCGACCAAATTAGGTACCATAAAAAAGGTTTTTGTGGGTTAATCTTAAAAGCAGTGGCGGCTGTACCTTAAGTGCGCCCGTGCGCTGAACCACCAATTCAAAATATTTAAAAATTACAAAATATTATGTCATCTTAATTTTTAAATTACCATTTTAATATTTATTTTTTAAACATACAAAAAGGTATAAAAAATTTAATTTCCAATTATGGTCAAAAAGTTTGAGCGCTTTACTAAACTCATATCGTGCGCTCCGGCGAGTGCACGAGGACTGCTAATACATCTTGTATGAGACACGCATCAATACGCCTGGCGCGTGAGACAAAAGATAGTTCATAGAAATGTACCGAGTAACGAGTCGGTTCTCGAGCGCCGCACGAAGCGGCCGAAGGTTACCGAGAGCACCCGATGTATGACGTATTGAGCCGGCCGGCAAGGGGCCGGCCGAAAGGATGGGTGCTATGATTGACATTTCGTTAATCGTTATTGGTATTGTTTCAACTTTCACTGTATGCGTGACGCGTTAATTCGTTATTGTTTATAATTATTTCCGTAATTCGTTTTAGTTTTTATTTCGTTTCTATAATAGAACTTTTATTCTGTACTGTGTTTTTTATTAGTTGAAAATGAGTATAAATATTGATTATATTAAAGAAAATAACAAAATTTTTCAAAGTAAAGTAAACATAAAATTGGCCGGGCCGCCACGGCCCTTTTTAAATTTAAAACAAGAGTGTAAATCGAAAAATAAAGCATTTATACGAAGTTTTAAAAGTGAAATGTATAATAGAAAGAAATGTTTGTGTGGATGTGAGCGTCTTAATGCATTCTTTTGTTTTTCGACACTGAAAAGAATCAAAAGTTTTCTCAGAAATACCATGTCTCAGGATCGGCTAAATGCACTTTCTGTGCTTAGTATTGAAAAGAAATTTATAGAAAAAATACCAGATTTTAATAAAACGGTGATAGAACATTTCGCTACAGAAAAATGTCGTCGCATTGATTTAATGTACAAAAAATAAACATATTTTATGTCAATTGTTGTTTTTGTCAATATTTTAGTAAAGTGAACCACCAGTTCGATAACCCACCAGCCGCCACTGCTTAAAAGATAGACATATACTGTCGCGGAGTGTTTTTTAGATCATTAAAAGAACTATTATTCTTTAATACATATTTTTTGTGTATCTTGAACCGTTTTCACGGCGCACGCAACATAAGGCTTCAAAGATGAAATAATTTCTCCCGTTTTTTACACATTTACCACTATATCTTTGTTCCTATTGGTCGTAGCGTGATGTTATATAGCCCACAGCCTTCCTCGATAACTGGACTATCCAACCCAAAAAGAATTATTCAATTCGAACCAGTACTTTCGGAGATTAGCGCTTTCAAACAAACAAACAAACTCTTTAGCTTTATAATATTAGTATAGAAGAGAATTATGAATAACAGTTTTAATTTTCCATTTCTATGAGTGTTATACCAAACACATCCTCATGGTTGTATACCAAACACACTCATATCCCTACTAATATTATAATTGCGAAAGTAACTCTGTCTGTCTGTTACGCTTTCACGCCTAAACCACTAAACTGATTTTAATGAGATTTGGTACAGACATAGAGTTGACCTTGAAAAAGAACATAGGATAGTTTTTATCCCAGACTTTTAAAAGGTTCTCTTGGAAACGCGATATAACCGAACTCGACGCGGGCGAAGCTGCGGGTGGAAAGCTAGTAAATTATATACAAAACACACCTTCATGGTTGTATACCAAACACACCCTCATGATTATTTACCAAATACACCCTCATGATTCATATACCAAACACACCCTCATGGTTATATACCAAACACCTCATGATCATATACCTAATGATTTTATACCAAAACCTCATGATCATATACCTGTACACCCCCAGGTCGTCCTCGGCCGGATTTCTTCTACCGTTGTTTCCCGGACGGAGTTCCCACAGCTGACCTGCACTGTACGGGTGACCCCGCTGACGTCATGGAGGGGAGGAAGTCATTCCCCAGTGGACATAGCAGCAGTTAGTATTGGATAATATATATACTAGAAGACCTGGCGAACTTCGTATCGCCCTATAATCAAGAAATATCTGTTACGTTTTTTTATTTATATTTTTGGAATTCACCTATTAAAGCCATAAATCTCCGTGTTTTGAAGTGCGACAGAATGATCGACATATTAGTTAGTTGTCAAATCTAATGTCAAAAAAAAAGTTTGTATCAACAACTATGTACTAATAAATTAAAAATTAATTAAAAAAACATTGTCCAGCGGACAAAATTGTGAATCTAAACCATTCCCAGATCCCCTTGAACACACACAAAAAATTTCATCAAAATCGGTCCAGTCGTTTGAGAGAAGTTAAGTGACATACACACTCACAGAAGAATCGTATATATAAAGATATCATTCCATGTATTCGCGGTGCGTGTGTCGGGTCCATCGTTGTAGTGAGAGGAGCTTCAACAGTGACTGTGACTTGTGACCCAGGTGTAGGTTTAAGGGACCCTATCTAACGTTAAACGCTCACCTCCACCGTCCAAGCTCATCTCTCTACCAAATTTGAAAAGAACCTACTAGGGCTGCCTTCGATATATGTTCCAAGAATGTATTAATGTTACTTCTGGACAGGCCCAAGTCTTTTAGTAGGTTGTAGAGATTTAGCTGTTATACCTCTCGCTCCCACCTCTACCGCGTACAAATTTACGATTAACCTATTCTTAGTCAGTTCGTAATACTTATTTATCATATTACGAATGTATGAAATAAAAGTATGTATTAAATTTACTTTTGATACTTCACTTTACTTGAATATATTAATGACTTTATCTTACCTTTTTTTTATAGTGTGAATAATTTTTAAATTCCATTATTAGTAAGGTAATATATGTATCGTTTAATCATTATATGAAGTTAATTATTACTTATATATGTTTATGTATATTTAACTAATTTTTGTTCGCGACTTTGTCCGCGTTAATTTCGTCATTAGTAATATATGTATAGCTGACCGGGCGTACTCTATTCTTCCCTAGAGGACGTAAATAACCAGATATTGGAATTTATTTAGTATTTTCCATTTCGATCGAACAGAATTAAATATCCTATGTCCTTTCTATGTTCTAATCTATCTCTCCACCAATGTTCAACCATATCCTTACAGTCGTTCTTGAATTATAAATAGTGTAACTAACACGACTTCTTTTTATATATATAATAATCTACATAACTGATAGGTTTCATACAAATCGATTTAATAGTTGAAGCTCCTCTCTCTGCAACTGTGAATCCATGGAATGCTAAGAAGTTTCGTCTCTCCCTTATATATATTTGGTTAACTTTACTTAGAAGTTTATTAATATTTATGTTATATTAATTTATATTTTGTCATATATGATCGTCAAATATCACGTCCTCAAGTATTGATAGTAATTCACCAGTCACCCTGTATATACATACATATTTACTTACCAGCCATATCAATAATATTTCTTATATATTATAGTGTCATTCTGTTCGCTGGGTATCGCGTCCTTGTGGGCGTGCGGTCGTCTTTGTACGATCTCACGCAGGCGAGGCGAGGGCGCGCGAGTCATACTAACCCTCACTCCGCTGATTGTAGCCTTATGTATAGCTCTGTCAAGAACCTGCGACTATCATCATCATTGGCAAGGTAATATATTAGTAGGGATATAAGTATGTATGTATGAATGTTTGTAGCTATTTCAAGCAAAAATAAAACAAAAACAATTACTATTTAACTTTAAGTTTATGTAGTTTGGACATCAGAATAAAACATATTGTATATTTTATCATGGAATTCCTTTTCGTTACCGCAGAAATAAATTGTAGTTATATTGTGTATAAAGTTACGTAAAACTATATATAGATGTCGCTGACTGTTGGTTAATATATGTATTGTATAACAGATTTTATATAAATTACTTTCTGAAATTATAATTACAAGTAAAAGGTAAAGTCATAGAAAATAACTACATACATATATGTACTTTTAACTTTGCTAGAGATAGTGTATTTAATTTTAATCATTTGTTAAAGAATTTGAAATAAAAAGGCATTTTTTTGTATTTTTCTTTCGTTTTATCATATGTATTTAACAACGTTAATATATGTGTGGAAATACTTTTATTTATAACTACAATAATGTATACGCATTAAATTTTTAATTATGATAATTAAACTTAACTGTCATTAAATGTTTTCATTCCAGATGTTTTAGTGGGATCTATCCTGGGTTTGTCCGTGTCCATATTCTGTTACCGCCAGTATTACAATCCATTAACATCCGATTTATCCGGGATACCTTACATCGTCACAAAATCCAATTCAAAATACTTCAACGGCAAACCAGAAAGTCCTATGAAAGACGCCAAAGAAGAATCCACGCCTTTACTGAATGGCGGCAAAAAGGAAGATAAATGGATTTAAGTTTTTTTTTTTGTATAAACCTCGCAGGCACAGGTTCGAATCATTATGCCAATATGATTTAGAAAAAGTTTTTATATTTTATTTTGTCAATATGTTTAGAAATCATTGTTTTATACATTTTTATGTATTTAAATGAATTTATATATATATTTTATTTGGATTAATCTAAGATTTTTAAAATCTTTACACCTAGTGAGTACATATTATGTTGTAATAGTAATTTAATCACTTTTGTTTTTTTTAGTTTTTAATCTTTTTTTTAAGGATTATGTACTTATTTTGACATTCCAAATGTCTTTTTTGACCATATTTTTTGTATTTTTCGTGTTGTGATTATACATTCCTATATGTGATATCTGTTACCAATTAATGAATTTTTTTTATGCATTTATTTTTATGATTTTTTAAAAAATCCTTTGTATTCGGTAGATTCTAGAAATATCGTAGGAATTAAATTCGAATAAAAGAATTAAAGAAAAATCTTTTTAAATTTATATTCGATTTAATCATGAAAAATCGTAGAAGTAGCCAAAAAAAAAAAATCTTTGACTAAAAAAATGTTTTCAATAAACTAATAAATATTTTTGAATTTTTATATATATCTTTTATTATACCTTTAGATTTATGTATTATTAAAATTTAATGTTTTTTCTATAATAAATTTCTTAAAAATATTTACCCTAAAATTGGAGTAACTGGCAACCAATAAAAAACACATAAAATTGACAAAATTTATTTTTAATATATACAAGTCGTAATACAAGAAAAATTGAAAAATATAATAAAAAAAAAAATCACATTATTTTTTACATCACACTTAATAATAAATTGGAAAATAATTACTTAATTGAATTTTCTTAAATTTTATATAGCATCTTTACAGGTTTAAATTAAATACATTTCTTCATTCATATGTATACTACTTTGTGAGATTTATCATGAAAAACTCGATGCGACATAGTTTGACGATGAGAACACATAGTAGGGGCTAGAAATACGATACTTCTTTCACAATCTAGGACTCAAGGGCGAAGCCCTAAATAGGAACATCACCAAATAATCCTCTGGATATCGTTGAAATCGCTCCAAATTATCTCTTTAGTGAAGAAAATGTAAAAAGTTAGTACATTCAATATAACATACCAAAGAAACTCGAGCAGAACCGTCTCAAATGATGGTCGGACAAACCTTAATCTTAATATTATATATGGAATGAGGAAATACCTGATTTCAACCAGGCGCTGTAATGACAGAGCCAGGAACAAACTTATTGAATACGGCAACAGAAATGATATACAATTCTGGTCCTTCAAATTATCATACAGACTGAACAGTAGAAATACATATAATGGCACCGTTGCATATTTAGCATAATCATATTTACCGAACCAGCGGTTCCAGATATAGAATGTATAATGACGATTATCCGCTAACATGTAGGGATGAACTATTGTGTTATAATGTACTACAACAAGAAATACACAAGCAATGAGTAAAAATAGCAACTTATTACGGTATACCAATTTTAATGTTGATGATAACTTCATTAAAACATATGGCACACCAAAAACACCATAAAAAAGTAAAAAATATAACATCTGGGGTAAATGGAGGGTCGCTGTGTGGGAATCTTTGTCACCGACAACGATTGAACCATTGAAATACACGAATACAACGAATAGTATCATAATCGTTAACTGTTGTAACATAACAAACCAATCCGTTATCGTTATAAATTGGAAACTAGTCGTGAAAAATGTTGATAAGTGATATTTCAATGCGATATACACATCCGTTAAGCCGTAATAACGTTTTAGTTTAGACACATCAATGTCTCTGGCTATGAGAGACCGTTTGCTCAACGTAGTGTTCGTTAAGTAACGATTACCGAACACTCTGGAGCTTCTTATAAGAATATCGAGGACCTTATGCCCGAAAACCATAGCGATCCACACAACATTAGTTTGCCTCATTAAAACGCTTAACACACCAAAAATGAATATAAAATATTTAGACTTATTAATGAAACACAAAGTAGAAAACATTAATAGAAATAGTAAAGACAGTGTATCTGTGTAATATACATGCGAGAAAAAATACAAAGGGGGCAGCAACGCCAAGTTTAGAGCTTGCAATATAATTTTAAATTGACTCTTATTCTGGTTGCCGTAGATGAATTGCAGGATTGATGAAAATAGCATCAGATTTAGACATGACGCTACCAAGTTAATGAATCGAAGGTTGTATGTATCACATGGGATGTAGGAACCTATGAATGCTGCTGTAACAAGGTAGAGTCCGGGCAGGGTGGTTATTTTTGGGTCCCAGTAGCTGAAGTTTCCATTACAACAGGACAGCCCTTGAGGTATATGGAATAACTCATCTATAACCACCTTCGAAGTTTCGTTGACTTTATCAAAGACCATTTTTGATGCTATAAAGTATAAAGCCACTGTAGCCATCAGAAGCAAGTAATATTTCTTTCCAGGCTTCATTTTGAGGGTTTAACCTAAAAAATAACTCACATTTAGTATAGGATACATTTGTATTGTACATAAATATATTTGAAAATTCAGAATAATACAAACTGGATTAATGGTTCTCAAAACATGACACGATAAAATATTGTAGTTTTTTTTATTACGGCTTTTGTATTTTAATTCAATACTGAATGTGTGCTTATTTACTAATTCGAAATTGTTATCAGTAAAAATAAGGAATTAGCATTTACCGGGTTTTTTGACATTTAGCAATCAATAAGGTCATGACATAAAACTTTCGTTCAATAACAAGTTTCTTAAAGCATTGTCAATGTCTGCTCTGTTGAAAGGAAAATAAATTAATAGTTAAATATATGCACAATATTCTAAATAAATGAAAATTTTATGAAGCTTATAAATAACTCCGTTACAAAAGTTAATAGAAAGTTTTAGAATGTATGTTCCTTCGATTGATTTTGTAAAACATAGGAAGGATGTTATTTAAAAAGAATAAAAAATCTGCAAATAGGTTGCCAAAATATCGAAATATAGCGTATAGCAATAAAATATTTAAACATGCTAAAATTGAAAGCAACAGAGTACAAGATCTTTAAATGATAATAAACAAAGTAATGTGACAACTGCCAAAGAATTTGTCAAAAATCTTAACGGTCATACACTATTTAAAAAACTTCATATCCATCAATCAAAGAGTTTATATTTATAATAATCTTGTTATGCAATGGAGGCGAACAATTTTATAGCAAAGTTAAAGGCGTGTGGTGCTAACAGTGATATTTGTGATTTGAAAGAGGCTTTGGACGCATTTAAAGTAATCTTAGTTAAGTTGCCTGAAAAGGATAAGTCATCTTTTAGTTTAAACGTTTTATGTACATTATGCAGGTGAGGACACGTAAATTAATACATATTATTTCAGTTCGAAAGATCATTCATATAAGTACATGTTTATAAATGTATTTACGGCATTTGAAATCGAAAATTACGTACTAATAACATCCATGTAAAGCTTCAATTTAATATGATTGAAATTGTATATTAATTATACAAACCTTGTTTTATATTATTAATCTATCTGTAACCAGTGAATCAATACTTTAATCAATTATATCGAAATATTTTCATACTCGATAGGTTATAATCTTCATACAAATGAATTACAGAAATCTCGAGAAAATACCGACATGGCGTGCCTCAATCAATAACACAGATCTTGTAACATTCAGCATAGAATGTGTTCGACACACACGGAACATGCAAGCATCGGATCAGGTCAAAACACTGGCCTGCATCTTTCACATACATAGACACGTAATTAAACAGGTATGCAAAATAATAATAATTTTCCCAAAGAGGGTTGATGTCAGGCAGGCGGTCGGTCGTAAAAACAATTAGCCAAAACTATTCACAACATGTAAGGCAGACCCTGGGTAAAGCTGGGAAATTGCCAGGTAGAAGACAAAAAAAACGTATAAAACCTTTTTGAAGTTAATTACAACCATTTTTAAGATATTTCTGACATAAATTGAGTGTCTATCATTATAGATAGAAAAAATTATCAAAATTTTGCTAAGAACTTGCTTAATAAACTGTTTTTGTCTACTTTAATGTTTAATTTATTAAATATATCCTTTTTCTTTCTTCCAGAGTTCAAATATACCTCCGGAATTGATTCTTAAATTATCATTCTTGCCGTTTGATTGCGACGAAGACAGTCTTCTGTCGGATTACCACAAAACATATTGGAGCATCCTCGCAGATAGATTGACTTATATAGAGAAACTTAAATCTCTGAAGCTGCCGATAATAAAACTATTGCCAAAATTCGTTGACGATGTTATCAAAGTCATAAAAATATATGACACCATCCAATTCTGCGCCAACTTACTCACATTTCTAGTTAAAAAGCTACATTATGTGTACAACGATGTCAGAATTAACGAATCATTTGAAAGGATATTTGAATGCATCGCTAAGAAGGATATAAAACAATTCAAGTTACTTCAAGATAAGGAAATAATGGATATATATGTTAAATTTAACGACTGCTTGTACGTTATAGCTGAAAATGGATTACGTTACAAAGATTCTGTGCTTGAAAATGTATCAAGAACAATCATTACTATACTAGGACATAGACCCGATATGTTTCATTGTATGCAAATGTTGTATCCAAATTCATTTTGCTGTATCTTTAAAGATAAAACTAATGTGAATTTGATAGACAATACCCTGAATTCATTATTAACATCATGTGAAATTACCGAGAAATTGGGTTACATACAAACACTCAACGCAACTTATCCATACTTAAGCCAACTTTTAAGACTTTATATAGAAAGTATTCTTAATAACCAAGATATAAGTAATAGTTTTGATATTGTAATACAAGAAAAATGTCTTAAAATAATACTATTTCTTATAAAAAAGCTGAAAAACACTAATCAGATGTTGAAATGTGAAAATTGTAATATAAGATCGGGCTTACATGATGCTTTAAGACTGACATTCCTCATCAAAAACTTTGTTAACACATCTACAAGCAACGATATGGACATAAAAACTATTCTGCCGTTATACATAGATGTTATAAAGCAGCAGTATGTGATTTTGGAGGAATTAAATGTTTTGGGCTGTGGAAATTACAAGAAATGCCTCAGCAAACTGCAAACAGACACACATAATACGGCTATAACCTTCAATAAGAGTAAATATTACATGCAATCGATAGAATTATTCGATATTTACCTTAAAAATGAATTTAAGAAGCCATCGAGTGGTGACAAAGCTATGCAAATGAAGAATATGAGCCGAGCTCTTTACAATAAGAGCATATGCGAATTAGACTTCAGATTATATGAGGATTCGTTGAGCAATGCTTACTTGAGTCTAATTTTCTCATTGCCCGATTCAATTTGTAACGAGAAGTACATGAGTCTTGTCATGGATATCAAAGCAAAAGCTTCCAAAGAAGAAACCGATGTTCAGATGTGGTCGGTATTGGATGTGTGTAGAAATGTTGTGAATGAAAATCCATATGGAAATCTTCAATCTTTGGTCAAAGATTTGGAGTTCAGGTAAATTAAATTAACTAATATGAGAATAAGATATGTTGATGATTCATGAAAAAATTGCTGGATGGATTTTGATTAAACTTGTCAGTGATGTTGTTAGTACATCAGAATGACATATAGGTTCTAAATTATCCTAAATACCGTCAAATTTTACGGGTTTTGAGTTAGAAATCCAACTATCTTGCTATATATATTGCTGATGGTTTAATATATGTATTATTTAAACTAACTTTATACATTTCTCAAAGTTAAATACGAAAGAAACAGACAAAGTCATAGGCAAAATCTAGTGTATAATACACACAACAATTCTTCTTTCACAAATGATTTATAATTTCAAAACTATACTTAATTTTTATGTATTTAAATTGCTAATGCATAATTGTATTACTTTTACACAACTACACTATATAATTCCTTCAAAGTAAATAATATTTTATCCTAAAACTTCTCTATAATTCACTCAGTTTCATTAAAATCAGTTCAGTCATTTTCAGTCTGTGAGTATTCTACATATTAGACACTCAAAACCATTTGAGTGATTGTCATTTGAAAACTATTGTACAAAGACTGCCTTGCATCACTTTGTAATATGGGTGACTATTACACAGCTAGACCGATATTTATCAAATATAACTAAGAGAATGCGCAAAGAAACTGGCTATAAAATTAACAAAATTTCATTGAAATCGGTCGAGATGTAAGAGATATAACTCCACATACAGACATCGTCAAACTTATAATATTTACTTTAATGAAAATACTTAATTATATAGTATCTCATTCTTCTTCCTGGCAATTTCCCAGCTTTACCCAGGGTCTGCCTTACATGTTGTGAATACTTTTGGCTAATTGTTTTTACGACCGGCCGCCTGCCTGACATCAACTCTCTTTGGGAATACATTAATCAGTGACTTCTAAATACTCTTATAAAGTACATATGACTCGGAAAAATCACATTGGTACTTGCCAGGTATCGAACCCGCGCCCTCGCGCCTGAGAGGCAGGCCGTTTAACCTCTAGGCAACCACTGACTTATATATATTACTTGCTGCGCCCCGCGGTGTTACCCGCGAATTTCCGGGATGTAAAGTAGCCTATGTGTTATTTCTGGACGTCAGCTTCCTGTATACAAAATTTTATCAAAATCGGTTCAGCTTTTGAGCGTGAAGAAGTAACAAACATACATACACACACACAAACTTTCACAATTATAATATTAGTAGGATAATGTATGTATGTACTGTTGTTCCAGTGTACTCTTAAAACTCGAGTTTTCAATGTACGTGAAGCTATGGCCTTCCATTCCTCCTATAGCCGGTGTATGGAAATCATTGTACGATATGATTGAAGATAAAGAAGATTTTATCACAAGTAAGTATTATTGGTGGCACTTAACTTAGCGTATTCGCCGCATCGTCCATATATTTGTACGTAGTCCAAATAGCGCAAACATGACATCCACACTTGGCATGCCATCAACACGTCTTTACGTGTTTTCGCTTATTTGTGTATGTGTGTTATTTGTGCAAATATGTCAAATGAAGACGAATAAATCCTACACACATGGTCTTATTTGGCTGAACATATCAAATAAACGCAAGAATCAAACCTACTACCATCTATATACTAATTTGAATCACATGCCCATATCTAATAGTGTATGTCTGTCTGTCATAGAAAAACTATTAAACCATTTTGTATGAAACCTATCAGTTGTGTACATTATATATGTATATATAAAAGAAAGTCGTGTTAGTTACACTATTTATAACTCAAGAACGACTGCAGGGATATGGATGAAGATTGGTGGAGAGATAGATTAGAACAAGGAAACGAACATAAGATATGTAATACTGTTGGATCGAAAAAGAAAATATTAATAAATTTAAATATCTGGTTATTTACCGCCTCTAGGTCGGAATATAGTTCGCCCGGTCAGCTATACATATATTATTAATAACGAAATTAAAGCGGATGAAGTCGAGGGCAAAAAGTAGTCTCAGATAAATTGACATTATTATTTTGTCATACTTTGGATGTAACTGTATATCAGTAAAAAAATATGAGAATTACTTATGGTTTGAAATATTTGTTAATACACTTGATCCTTATGTAACAAAAAATACTCATAAGTCATAAATGAAAAAAAATTTAACACAGTTATTTGAATTTTATTCAAGAAACAGTGATTTATATAAGATAGTATGGTAATCCCTACTAATATTATAAATGCTAATAAAGTAACACTGTCTGTCTGTTACGCTTTCACGCCTATACTACTGAACTGATTTTAATGAAATTTGGTACAGAGATAGAGTTGAGCTAGAGAAAGAACATAGGATAGTTTTTATCCCAAACTTTTGAAAGTTTCTCTTTGAAACGCGATATAACCGAACTCCACGCGGGCGAAGCTGCGGGTGGAAAGCTAGTAACTATTAATGCGTGCAAAGTAGCGTGTTTAAACTAGTTTTTTGTTTTCAGAGGAAAATCCAGAAAAAATGTTGTGGACTCTCTACGAGATTGTTGTAGCAACACCGGCTGCTGTTAGAACGATTCATAATGACACGTACAAAGATATTGTGTATAGATTGATAGAAGAATTACGTGGAAAACCGGTGAGTATTATATGTATATATACTAGCTGACCCGGCAAACGTTGTTTTGTCATATAATAAATAGGGGTTGGTGATAAAAAAAGTAAAAATATTGGGTTGTATGTATTTTGTAATGTAACATTATGAAATAATAAAAACAAAAAATTTCGTTCGAAAATAAAAAAATAAGGGTGAACAATCTTATGATTTAGGGGTATAAAAAATTTATGTTGGTCGATTCTCAGACCTACTGAATATGATCATAAATATTTAGGTGGTAGAGCCTAGCTGTGGTTAGTTACTACAGCTCGAACACGGGCTGGCTCGACCGGGGAAGTACCACCCTCTCACAGAAGATCGGCGTGAAGTAGCCTTTAATGGCTGCGTTTCGTCCGATGAGTGAGAGAGCCGCCCTATCCCTATAAAACAAGGTTGGTAACGCATCCGCAACATCTTTGTTGCGGATGTCAATGGGCGACGGTAACCACCTCCCATCAAGTGGGCCGTCTGCTCGTTTGCCACCTTTAACATAAAAAAAAAAAAAAAAAAATGTCATCAAAATCGGTCCATCCGTTTCATAGGAGTTCTCTGTCTAACACCGCGACACGAGAATTTTATATAAAAGATATATGTAGTATTAAATAAAACTATATTAAATTTGTCATGTATATATAGTGGTGACAACACACTAAATGACAGCAACTAATATAATAAAGTAATCACCCTACTTTACACTTGACTAGCTAAAACATAACAATATATATAAAAGAAAGTCGTGTTAGTTACACTATTTATAACTCTAACGACTGTACGGATATGGTTGAACATTGGTGGAGAGATAGATTAGAACATAGAAAGGACATAGGATACTTTTCATACGATTGAAAAAGAAAATAAGTTGATTAAATACAAAATCTACTTATTTACTGTCTTTAAGGAATAGAGTTCGCCCGGTCAGCTATACATTTCTGATTCTGAAACTAACGCAGACGAAGTCGCGGATAAAAACTAGTATCATATATGGTACATATTCCTAAATAATTTCTTTTTAAATATTGTCGGTCTGTTTGTTGAAGCTAAAATTTGAAATGGCTGTACCGATTTTGATGGGACTCTCTTATAGATAGTTGATATAATATTGAGCAACTATCCAAAATAAACATTTCGAATAGAAAAAGTACTTATATAAATAATTAAAATATATAAAATAAAAGTTGCATACAGATATATTTTTGGGAATTAATTATATTTTACCAATTCTAACTAACAATTTTCCTCTAAAATACTTATTGTTGTGTTAACATAATATTGTAAATAATATTTAAATTATAATAATTTCAGAAGAAATCACCAAAAGAAAAGCTGGTGTATGCTACACTACTGAGTTTGAAGACTGAATATGAAATTAACGAGGCCGGCTTGAAGTATGGATGGAAAGGGAGAGAGGTAATTTATTCAATTATTTATTTATTCATTTGTTCATTTATGGGAAATACAGCTTATATTACACTAACTTTCCGCCCGCAGCTTCGCCCGCGTGGAGTTCGGTTATATCACGTTTCCAAGAGAACCTTTCAAAAGTCTGGGATAAAAACTATCCTATGTTCTTTCTCAAGGTCAACACTATGTCTACCAAATTTCATTAAAATCAGTTCAGTGGTTTAGGCGTGAAAGCATAACAGACAGACAGGCAGAGTTACTTTCGCATTTATAATATTAGTAGGGATAAGTTATTTCGGTAGGGTAGAAATAATTTGCTAAAACAGTTTTCAGTTATTTTGACCTGGATTGTATGTATCTTATATTAGAAATAATAATTTAAAGAAAAGAACAAACATATATGAACATTATTAGCAAGAAGTATCAAACATATAATTATCATAATTATGATTTATAAAGATAACAAAACAATTGACTGGGAGAGGTTTATACTCTGTACTATTTATATGTAAGTCGTGGTGTCCTAGTGGTTAAAAGGCCCGCCTCTCATACACGAGGGCGCGGGTTCGATCCTAGCAAGTAAGAATGTGATTGTTCCGAGTCATATGTACTTTATAAGAGTATTTAGACATCACTGACTGATGAAGGAAAACATCGTGAGGAAACATGGACTTATTAAATTATAAGTTTGAAATCACCAACCCGTCTTGAGCAAGCGTGGTGATTAATGCTCAAACCTTCTACATGAGAGAAGAGACACAGCCGTGGGCTCTGATAGACTGATGATGATTATTTGTATACATAATATTATAGAGCCTAGCTGTGGTCATACTACCTTCCACCAAGTAGACTGTCTGTTCGTTTACCAATTGCTGTCGTTGTAATTAAAAGAGATATATATGTATATATATAAAATGAACCATAAAAATATCTAAATGTACATCTATTACTTGATAATATGAAATGGCTGATCCGATTTTGATGTAACTTTCTTCTTCAGATGGATCCCGACGCTCCAAGTACAAGGTCCATACTACACGAGCGGGAAGTGCTACACAACGCGAGAATGACTGTGAAGGAAATGACTAACGTCGCCGGGGACTGTTTTGGAGGTAAAACACCCCCAGATTAAACTTGATGGGTTATGAAGCTGATTTGATAGTGTTTGCAACCTAAATGACTGTTAGGTTGAAGATTTATTAATATTATTACGATCTTGGTTGTATTTAGTCAATACTAGCTGCGCCCCGCGGTGTTACCCGATTTCCGGGATGTAAAGTAGCCTATGTGTAGCCTGCACGTCAGCTTAATTAATGTATACAAAATTTTATCAAAATCTGTTCAGCCGTTTGAGCGTGAAGAAGTAACAAACATACATACTCACAAACTTTCGCAACTATAATATTAGTAGGATAAATACAGTGTTTAATAGAAAATGCAAGCATACATTGTTTTATAATATTGCTTGTGTATAGTTTTCTAATGAAACTTGCTCTAAACTGACCTAGCGGACCTTTTATTAACAACAATCCGATTACTAGAACATTCCTAAACATTAACCTTTATATTTATATGTACTTGTTTATAAACATTAACAATAGAAATGTTCTAGAAAACATATAGATAATAGTTCGTCCACTCGTCACGGGTGGCGCTGTCGATAACGTTACAATATCCTACAATATACTAGCTAGCTACACTATATATCTCCGCCCGCAGCTTCGCCCGCGTGGAGTTCGGTTGTATCGCGTTCCCTTTCAAAAGTCTGGGATAAAAACTATCCTATGTTCTTTCTCAAGGTCAACTCTATGTCTGTACCAAATCTCATTAAAATCAGTTCAGTGGTCTAGGCGTGAAAGCGTAACAGACAGACAGACAGAGTTACTTTCACATTATAATATTAGAAGGGATGAAAAAAAATTAAGTCCATAAATTTTCTATTAAGGAATAAGGTATTTCCACTATCAACTAGCTATTTAAATGTATTTTCCATATATTTTATTCTCTGGAATTTTTTATATATTTAGAAGGTTTTTGAGAGACATTTATGTGACAATAGTTTAGTTAGCAAAAGAATGTAAAAATATTCCTTCTATTTGCGGGTTTGAATCCTAATAGATATATTCCATGTGGTTTTTGATTTGTTTAACTGATTATTAATTTCTCAGCTTTAGCCAGGGTCTGCCTTACATGTTATAAATAGTTTTGGCTAATTTTTTACGACGCCGCCTGCCTGACATCAACCCTCTTTGGGAATGCATTAATCAGTGATGTCTAAATACTCTTATAAAGTACATATGATTCGGAAAAATCACATTGGTATATACCAGGATCGAACCCGCGCCCTCATGCATGAGAGGCGGGCCTTTTAACCACTAGACCACCAATTATGTATGTGTGTATGTATGTTCCAGATTTCCTTGCTCCATGTCTGCGAGTGTTGTCAGTCGTTGTTCCGGAGTTATTCCACCTCAGTGATGATGTACACGCCTTACAGCTAGCCAATGTATTGTGTGATATGGCGATTAAAATAAATGAGAGGTGAGGAAAATAACATATATATATAAGGTATATTATTGAAGAAATTCAATATAAATTACAATTTGTTTCTATGAAAATATAAATAAACGACATTAAAGTCTACTAATCTTCTGAATTATATCTCTTAATTTATCTCTCTACACGTTTTAATAATCATAAAATGCACAACAACTTAAACATAATCCGCCATTAGTGATGCTTCTCTTATTGACAACTTATAAACTTGCTAAAAGCAGCAAATTTGAGTTTAATAAAATGTAAATTCATTGTATATATACAGGGTGACTGGTGAATTACTATCAATATTTAAGGACGTGGTAGTTGACGATCATATATGACAAAATAAAAATTAATATAACATAAATATTAATAAACTTCTAAGTAAAGTTAACCAAAAGTTATGTAATTAATTAGGCATCGTGTGAACACCCTACAGATTAGGTATACACACACACACTCGCGCGCGCGTCGTGGTGTTGTATCAGCACGCCGCCGCACGGGTCCACACTTGGAACACTTGGAACGTGTCCACAATTTATTTATTTATACGGAAATTTGGTCAAAAATTAAGTGCCTATTTTTTTACATAATTCGAATGAGTATCATGTACCGAGTATTCTCCTAAAATATTGATAGTAATTCACCAGTCACCCTGTATATATACAACAATTTATATTCTGCCTCTGCCTAGTGATAGTTTGAAGTAATGATTAATAAACGTCAGTGTAACTGTATTAGTATTTTTGGCTCCACTGTTACATAATTCTTATAAAACTATCGTTAAAATATAAAATGTTTGAGAAAAGCATATATCTTTTCTATATTAATTCATTGGTTTGAATAATATGATTTCGTTAAAGAACTTGAATCAAAGCCTTATTCAATAAGCTCTCAATGCACGTTGAATAAAGCGACCTCGGTATTTCGTTTCTAAATTCTTTTTTGGACATGCGTTCCATTTTTCAACTCTAAAATTGAAATTAGTAATCCTATATAATTTTTTACTATAACATAAAATCTCTAGTTGATCGTACGTTCGTTTGTCGAGATCATCTGCGTGGAATAACCTGAGTCGACATTATAGAGTTCGTTTCGTTTCGCTCGTTTCACTAAATAATTATTTTATATAATATTTTCAGGGAAATATTCGTACGTAACGCCGGTTATCTTATATACAAATCAGACGGACAGACAGACTTGCAAGAACTCATACAAAAAGCTTCCAAATATTGTAAGGAGATGATAAATGAACCGCTGTATATGGATGTAGCGTTGAATTTCATGAGCGAAGTCGCGGTAAGTAACTATATATTATATATATTTAGTATAAGTATTTATTTTGTGTCTAATTTATTACTAATTGTGAAAAAAAATACCTTAAAAGTCCTTAATATAGAAAATATTTCAGCTCAAACTTTCCTCTGATCTGCTTCTAATGTAGATACGCGAAATTATACAATGATAGTTACGCAGATTTGCACTATCCCCGACCTTTTTTTTTATGCCTATATAAAACTTTGCCAACAAACCAAGATAAATTTTGTAAACAAATTTCCATACTCCCAAATAGAAATTATCGGATACTAATCAAGTTCATAAGAATATCTTGAGAGTTAAGATAATAATATCGTGTAATTTTTGATTACAGATTTATTACATAAAATTGGGTAAATTATCTATAAGCAGCAAGCTAGTACAATCAGTTCAAGTTAAAATATTAACGGCGTACGAAAATAATCAGGATATAAATTGTAAGTAAAATTAATAATATTAATAATTTTAGTTTTTAAAGAAAATATTTTCTAATAATAACTTATATTTCCAGTGGATTTGTCTCTGGGTCGCCTGATGGAAGCTCAGACTCAGTTATGCTCAGTACTGAGCGAGGACTGCCCGAGCATGCTCAGCGCGCTCAACTCTGTTCATAGACATTACTTGTCTATGACTAGTAGCGGTGGGTATATTTATATATTTATAATCAAATATCTTAACAGATTTGCTTATCATATGACAAATTAATTTGTTTAGATATATACATATATATAAAATTAAGATATATATTACTAGTTTTTACTCGCGACTTCGTCTGCGTTAATTTCGTCATCAGTAACATATGTATATCGATGAGGGCAATGTAACTATTTAGCAATTTTTTTTTCTTTAAAAACTTCATAATACTACATTCAACAAAATCCATTTAAATATGTGCTTCTGTTGGTAGAAAGACTTAGTTTTTGTTTGCAGTAAAAAAATATAAGTAACACACTTTTTAACATATAAGGAGTTATATAATGTATATTATAAAAAACCTAGAAAGTAGTTTTACAAATAGTTTATCAATCTTAAATGTCGTACATGTATGTCATAGTTGTTATGCAAAGTTTCAAAAGCATCAGTTGTATGTACAAGATACATTGAAATCAAACTTAAAGCACCTCTACAGAACAATTGGCATTTTGTACATTGGCCCTTATACATAGGAGCCATCAATATCAGACCGGGCGAACTCTATTCCACCCTAGAGGCCGTAAATAACTAGATATTGGAATTTATTAAGTATCGTTCCGATCTAATTGAATTATATATCCTACGTCCGTCTCCTTGTTCTAATCTATTTCTCTACCAATCTTCAACCATATCCGTACAGCCGTTCTTGAGTTATAAGTAGTGTAACTAACACGACTTTTACATATATAGATATATTTGTACTAGAACATTCTTAGAACAAATGTACATAGTTAGATATTATCTCTATTTTAAAAATTAATATCTATATTAATTCCCACAGACACACACTGGTGTTTCCGCCGTAACACTTCACTAGTGATCAAGCTGAGAGTATCAACTTCCGGTGCTTGTTGTGTGAGTCTGTCCCGCGCGCTCCGGGCCTTCAGCAGAGCCCGAGCGGGGGCTGCGGTCGCTTCTAGGACGGGGGCGGCGGCCGCTGCGAAGATACTGGCTCATGTTATGACCGGGGGCGAAGCCCTACAGGTATATAAGACAGTTATCAAATACTAATGTGTGGAGTATGTGGAAGAAATGATAGTAAACTAGCTGTACCCCGTGGATTTCCGGGATCTAAAGTAGCCTATGTCTTATTCGCAAACGTCAGCTTCCTGTATACAAAATCTTATGAAAATCGCTTCAGCCGTTTGAGCGTGAAGAAGTAACAAACATACACTCACAAACTTTCGCAATTATAATATTAAAATTATATGTGTAACAAATCAAAGTAAAGAAATAATATTTATATAATATAGAACAAATATTTCAGCTAATGTAAAGATTATCATTATGTTTACTTCACTGTAAGCAACAATACTATGCATGTACTTGGAATCTACTGAATTTCTTTCTCTCTAATACTTTATAGATTTGTGTATATTTCTTTTTCTCTTTGTGTTAAACGTTAAACGCAACTTTGTTGAAAGTCGCATAAGAAGTATGACTTCAAATATTTATATATGAAAGTCATTGAAAATATATTGGTTTTGATGTAATTTTTATATTACAAGTGGCGCCATCTGTGACCTACTAATATACTATAATCCTTACAATTATTATAATTGATTATAATGAATGATAATACTGAACCATACTAATGTATCAACATGAGTATCACGTGTTTGTAAACTATCAATACTGGCTTCACACATCTTGTAACACATTACTGGAAGTTACATGAACATTGAGACCTAAGACTGAAACTGTACCTCGAATATATATTAACTCCAAAAGTAATCTTTAAACATAAAAGCTAATTTTATATATAGTTTTAATGCTTTTTATTACTTACAGATGAAAATCGACAACACTCTCAAATTCATTCTCGGCATACAGTCTGATGCGATAGAAACAAATCATACAATGACTAAACAACATCATTTTACACCAAAAAGTACTAATTTGGAAGCTATGAGGGATTGTATGCTGAAAAAGGTTCAAACAAGTCCTACTATACCTTGCACGATCCCGGTCTTCCAAATCCCGGATTTCTTGAACCATGCATGCACGTGTAACTGCCATGCATGTGAATTACCAGCATGCATCATCATCGCATGCCAGATATGCTATCTAGAAGCATCAGCGTACTTCAGAGATAAAGAAAACGAAATCGCAAGGAATTATTTCAACGGAGCTCTAAACGCTTTTGAGAAAGCTGAAATTAAATTGAAGAAAACATTCGAAGAATACAAGAAGTGTTTGAAAGATTATATTGTTGATATAGAGAGAAGAAATGTTGAGCAAGACTTTAAGTTAGTGCAAGTAGAGTTTTATATTGAATTATCGTATTTTGAGCTCAGTGAAGGAGATTTTGAAACGTCAGATGAATATATCCTTAAGATTCACGAAATTATGTCAGAAATGAGAGAAGTTGATCCCTATTTGAGGAACGAAGTGTACAATTTAATGGTGGCGTCAGCGCAACTCAGGAAAGACATCAAAAAACCTAAAGAAATCGGTTTAGAATTTGATTTAGAGAATCTGAAACTCAGTCCTGATAAGGATTTGGAGATACAGAAGACTCCAGAAGCTAAAATCGCAGTCCCTAAGATAGGAACAGTGAAAATAGTTAAAGACGAGGAAATACCAAAGAGACGTAAAGTTATTAAACTTAATTTAGACGAAGCTAGCGAAGAAAATGAAGAAAAAATTACTAGAAGCAAAACCAAGAAACCACAATTCAAAATACCAGACCCTGTGACTTCGAAACCAGTGCTAGAGACTATCACTCCTAGACCGACTCGGTCTAGACCGGAAATATTAATACAACAGCCATCTCTAGAGCAGACTGACATTAAAATCTTCACGCCAAAAACATCAAATACCAACGATTTCTTCACGCCCAGCGAATCAACTCCCGCTGAACAATTCTTCACGCCGCAAACATCAATAAAGACTTACTCAAGGCGAATCATAAAGAACTTGGAAAAAGAATTTTCAACGCCACAAGGAAAGGAAAATCCACAAAATCCACCAAATAGTGTGAAAAAAGTTGATAGTGTCAAAGTATTGAAAGACAAAAGGGTTTTAAGGAGAGCAACTTCTCCGGGGAAATTAGTTCAGAAACCTGAGTCTAGACCTAGAAGAATAAAACAACCAGTTATAGACTAATGAAGTAATATTTATTATGGAATATTCCTAAAAGACTAATATTTTTTCAGTACAAATATAATGTTTACCCAAAGTGTTGTTTTTAATATTGACTGAACTCAATAATGATATTAAATGTTCGAGCATCTATATATTTTATTTAATAATGAAATACGATATAGTAAAAAAAATAAAAGTCTAACAGAGAAATTTGTAAAGTATTGCTAAGTAATATATTATGTGAAAGTATTAATTAGTTAAAATAAGTCTTTAGCAATACACACGCAGCTATAGATATTATTTTTGACATACTGTATATAGCATTGTAATTACCAAATTGATGGACCGATTTCGATGCGGTTTTCTCCATTTCATAGTCAATTTACTTGCTATGTAAGCTGTTTGGTTAATATAGGTTCAGTAGTGCAAGTATATGTAGTTTTAGTATATTATTATATTCAATACTCACTATAATTGTACCGTGTGCCAAAAAAGTTCAATACAGGCAGCTTATATACAATATCATACTAATAATAATTAAAGTGAAAAGCAGTTTCTTCATGTATCTTATTTGTATTCTTCCAATAAGAAAACTAAGATATCTATTAATATCACATGAAACAATATTTTTTCTACATACAAACTTCAGTATAGTGCGTTTGATTTAAGCTGAGCTTTGCATTTGTGTGAGTGTACACGGATAGTGTAGATGTGATGTCAAATTTTTACTACGTTCTTTTCTAGTTTTGAACCGGTTTATTCTGCTTAGACTCCGCCCCGCACCTTCCTCACTTCACCCTTTGTACTGGTAGCAATATCAAATGTTGAAAACGCAATGTTAAGTGAATAAGAATTTGTACATAGTTTTCAAAATTTTTATTAATCAATAATTTTTCTACCATAATATAATATTTTCATCCGGTCTTTTACAAGTTTTGCTAATTTTATAGCACTTATGTAATGTATCTATTTAAAATATAATAAAATTTAATTCCAAAAGTTTTTTGTGTAGCTCTACTTTAACTTTCACTCACACATGCAAAGCTCAGCTTAAGTCTAACGCACTATACAAACTACTAAGTAGAAGATCTTATTCAATTCCCTTAGAGAAATATTTCAAATAAAAAATCCATCCACATTTATAAATAATTTATTTTAATATGTCTAAACAGTTACATACACACATCAAATTGTTTAACAAAACTTGTTAGAACATTCACATGAATAAAAACATTTTGTATTCAGTACAACATAATTTAACAGAAAAATTTTCATTGAAATACTTTTCATCACTCATACAAATTTATTTATCTTCCATGTAAGTTGTTGTATGCCACAAAAAAGCTTTTTATCTTTTTTTCTGACAAATATCCTATTATGTATAATTATATCCATTCAAAGTAAAAAAACAACAAAAACAATATTTTTAAAGGATTTGTCAGATGCGTACCTAATGTAATTTGCAAATTTTGCAGATTTTGGTTTAATTTAATGCTCTACTGTGAAATTACAGTTTTGGAGATACAACAACTTATGTGGGAGGTATCGATGTATATGTATATATATTTATTTATATGTGTATATATATGAGATTGCCATGTATTAATTCTCTTATATATATCTCAAGTACCATACATTATCTAACTTACAAATTACATATTTTTGATTCTTAAACTAATTACTTTACAAAACAATATAATATTTATAATCTAACACTAAGCCGGTTCAAATTTAACCTACAGTTAGTTTTGCGTTAAGTTTAACTAGATGGCAGCACTAAACCTTTTTAATTTGATCTCAAAACTAAGATTATGCTTCTGTATGTAAAAATTGTATTAATTAATTATGTACAAAAACAATAAGAATTATTATAATTTTGTTCTAATTTCATACAAGCAGTAATATAATTAGAATTTTCCTTATACTTATTCTAAGTCAACATTTTTCATAAGCATGAAGCTAAGTCATATACCACAGTATTTACAAGTTTTTAATATATTATTAAAGAAAATAAATCTAAAATATTATTAAAATGATTAATATATAGTGTAGATATATGATATATTTCTATTATGTACATTTTACATAATATATATGTATATATATTTATATATTCAAGTCCATATCACCGACACTGATTAAATTTTCCTACACTGTCACTTTGGTAATATTACTATCTATTGCTTTTGATCATATTTTCCATACAACTTTCTAGAATTATAAATCACAAATTTTCATAGAATTCTCTTCATTTTACTGTTTCGTATGATGAGTGACAGGTTATCTGAAAAATTTACAAATAATAATTAGTAAAGTTATATATCATCATCATCCTATCAGAGCCCACTGCTGAGCTAAGGCCTCTTCTCACATGGAGAAGATTAGAGCAATAAAGCAGAGCAGTATTCTTCTGTATAGCCAGTGTATGATCCCTTGTCCTACATCTAAGTATAACTAATCCCTGTCTCACTACTACCCCGCCTAGGGCGACGCACGTCCCCGTTCTGCTCCGCGCTAGTCGTGAGTCTGCCGAGCGCATGCCGCCCCCTCCAGTGGGGTACGTGAGACATTGCATTATATATATTGTATAGATACTTACACTATATTAAAGTCAGTGGTGACCTAGTGGTTAAAGGGCCCGCCTCTCGTTGCCGAGGGCGCGGGTTCAAATCTGGCAAGTACCAATGTGATTTTTCCGAGTTATATGTACATTATAAGCGTATTTAGACACCACTGACAGATGAAGGAAAACATCGTGAGGAAACATGGACTTATATCAAGTTATAAGTTTGAAATCACCAACCCGTCTTGAGCGAGTGTGGTGATTAATTCTCAAACCTTCTCCATGTGAGAAGAGGACTTACAGCAGTGGGCTCTGATAGGCTGATGATGATGACGACACTATATAGTAAGGTATATATTCTATATACTGACCAGCGTAAGGTTAAAGGTCGCCCTTCCCTTATCGGAGGGCGGCCCCCGCGGCCAGGTCCACACAGAGGACGGCCGCGGGGGCCGCGCGCCCTCAGCTGCGCCGGTGGCGACCTCCGCGGCGACGACGCTCACGACGACTCTGGAAAAATTAATGAAGATTATAATTAGATAATTATTGTAATGAGTTTGTATTGACATAAATTGATTGTGTTAAATGTGGTTGAGTAGTTTTGTCTTTTGGATTTTATATACGCTCTGATAGAATTAATGATCATTATAATTAGATAAGGGAATAAAAGCCGTTTGTTTCAATTATTAATTTTATTAAAGTTTTGTTTAAATGGAACAATATATATCAACAAATAATAACAATATATACCTTCCAAGTAAGTTGTTGTTATATCCAAAACTCTAATTTTATAGAGCGTTTCAAAGATTCAAATTAAACCAAAATCTGCATTTATTGATGCATCTTTATAAAATTTCGTATTTAAATTTAACACAATAGTCTTTTTAACACCATTTAAAGAAATTTTAATTAATATGCCTAAATATATATTGTTGTTATATTGTTCATACAACATTTTACTCCGTAGTACAGCCGCGTGCAAAAGTATTAGGCACCCCTATTGTTAGTCACTATCTCATTATATTGCGGTCAAGTCTGTGTTTTATGGTTTAGCTATTGTATTAGCGGCAATTTTTAACCAAATTAAGATAAAAGAAAATATTTATGACATCCAGGTGTGCTCCTAAGCGGTGTTTCTTCGAATTTGCTTTTTTTGCGTTTCGGGTTATAGTGTGTTATCAGTGCTTGCAGTGAACATACACGTCTTCTACGCAACTATTCCTATCACAATTCTAAAGACTAATATTTAACGTGTTAATCATGCCGAAAAAATCTGAACTAAGTGCTGAACAGCGTCTAAGAATTAAGATTTTACATGAACAAGGCATGTCTCAGGTTAAAATAGCCCGAGAAGTGAAGTGCTCGCGATGTGCAGTTCAATATGCTATAAATCGGTTAAAAGAGACTGCCACCCATGAAAACAGACCAAGAACAGGCAGAAGAAAAGTTACTACTGAACGGGAAGATCGATTGTTGATTAGGCAGTCTCTACAAAACAGGAAAAAAACTGCTTTAGAGCTCGCTGCAGCATTATCTGAGGCAAAAGGCAGCTCTCAGTGAGTGTTTATACTGTGAGAAGAAGACTTCTTAAAGCTGGATTAAAAGGATGTACAGCAAGGAAGAAGCCGTGGCTGTCAGAACACAATAAGAAAAATCGGTTGGAGTGGGCACTCAAACATAGAGATTGGTCAGTGGAAGATTGGTCCAACATACTGCGGTCAGACGAATCTAACTTTGAGGTATTATTATTTATTTTATGTACAATATTAAAACACATAAATGTTTTTAAAATAACGTACTGCAAGAAAAATAATAACTTTGAAAATAAATGGGTTTTTTCGTTTGGCATAGGTGGTTTGGAACACCCGGTGTGACTTATGTTAGGCGAAGGTTTGGCGAAGAATACAACCCAGAATGTGTGGTTCCAACTGTTAAGCATGGTGGAGGCTCAATAATGATCTGGGGCTGCATGGCTGCCGACGGAGTGGACGAAATGGTGTTGTGTGAGGGACGAATGAATAGTGTTAAATACACTGAAGTTCTGGAAACAGCACTAGCAACGTCGATAACGCAAATTTTCGGTGATACAAACACCGACGGCCTGAAATATCAGCAAGACAACGCCACTTGCCACAAGTCCGCGCATACCATGAAGTGGTTTGCTGAAAATCATATTGATCTTTTCGACTGGCCACCACAATCACCAGACCTCAACCCGATTGAGCATATTTGGTCCATTTTAAAGAAAAATATCCGCAGGCACTCGATTAGCAATAAACAAGCTCTATTGGCCGCGTTACAGCAGGAATGGAAAAATGTATCAAGAGAAGAATGTTTCAGGCTGGTAGAGTCAATGCCAAAAAGAGTGGCTGCGGTTATTAAGTCAATAGGTGGACCTACAAAATATTAATTATTTTCTTAAAATAAACCATTGTAATCATAAATGCAGTTTTATTTACACTCGCTATGCTAAAACACCCTAAAACTTGTCTTACTGTAGGGTGCCTAATACTTTTGCCCGTGGCTGTATATATACACTCACAGTCACAGTTCCATCTCCTTCGGCCCATCGTTCATAAGCCCGTTCCCTCTTGAGCCACTCCTGGTACTTGTACCACCACTCCTCCCACTTCACGTAGTCACCGAGAGTTAAGCCTGGGAATTAATTATATATAGAATTAAAATTAATACATTATAGTAGATAATATTCTAGATATTGATAAAAAAGCGCCATCTAGTGGCGAGTGGACGAACTATTATCTATAAGTAAAAGTAAACGAGTATAAATATAAAGGGTAATGTTCTGGAATGTTCTAGTTATCTGATTGTTGTGTATATAAGGACCACTAGATCAGTTTAGAGCAAGAATCATTAGAAAGCTACATACAAGTGATATTATCTTTTATCATAATAAAGTAAATATTTGTATTTTCTAAATACCGTCTTTATATTGACTAAATACATACATAGCTCGTAACGCTATGATTAATATAGTTAAAAATCAAATCAAAGTATTTTCATTTCTATTTAAACTTAACAAATTATGGTAATTACAACAAAGATGAACAGGATTTGAACCATATATGTATATAAGAAAGTATTATATATATGTTAACCCTCAAGCCACCTATAAGGAGCGCCGTAATTGACAATCTGACACTTTTTGTTTCAACTATTGTCAAAAGAAGAAACTGCCCTAATTAGTCTTTAATATTAATAAATCGGCCATTGGCTGGCAAACATTTGTTTAAAAAATCATAATGTGTTTTCATTTCTAACAATATCCTACTAATATTATAATCGCTAAAGTTTACGAGTGTGTGTGTATGTTTGTTACTTCTTCACGCTCAAACGGCTGAACCGATCTTGATAAAATTTTGTATACAGGAAGCTGACGTCCAGGAATAACACGTAGGCTACTTTACATCCCGGAAATCCGCGAGTAACACCGGGGGGCGCAGCTAGTATATATATGTCAATATAATTTTATATATGTACCTCGTAAGTAGCCCCTCTTCTTATAGTAGTCATATCTGACCCTCACATCATCCCATGAAGGCAGACCTCCAGGGGCTGCTGATAAAAGTTCCTCGGGATAACTGCCAACTGGCGCTGGGTCTAGACCTCTGTGAAAAAACAATTCTTTGTGAATCAAATAACTTAGTAATATGCTATGCTATTTTGGCTGATGATGATGCTATACTAGTTATTGACCGCGACTTCATATACTTTCTAAGAAGCCTCAATATCGCAAGATATGAATAAATAAAGTAAAAAAATACAACAACAGTACTGGTGCAGCAAAAGACGTCAAACAAAAATAACAGACTATACGCAATAGCGTTCGAATAACATTCTTTTTTATGTACATAAGTACTAACACTAGTCTGAAATAAACTTTGTTTTTCTAATTCTGATTTTTCTTCTCTATTTAACGACAACTCTCTATAACGCACTAAAATGCACAGTCCCTTCAGTGTCGTTATATAGAGTTTACACTGTATATATTTGGATAGAAATTATTCATTTGTAATATATAATATAGAATAACAAAACATATCTTTTTTATGTGAAACCTGGAAATTGACGTGTTTCCAACTTAGTTATTGAGTAAAAAGAAGGTTTCATAATAAGGAAATTTCAAGAAAATGAGGGAAATAGAAAGAGCAACCGTCTCTCTCACTCATCAAAGACTACTAAACACAAAACCATTAAAGACTACTTCACACCGATCTTCTGTGAGAGGGTGGTACTTCCCCGGTCGAGACAGAACATGTTCGAGCTGTAGTAACTTGACCACAGCTAGGCTCTACCTTATATACAATATTTTTTAGGAAATACATATAACAATTGTTTCTATATAAAGTTCTTTTTCATTATTTGACGAGTATATTGAGGATAAATCAAACTTTAGTATGAATACAGAGAGTAACAAGTTTCAATGCATAAATCATTACATTTCAGTAATATAAACAATCTATCTTATATATAAAATTCCCGTGTCGCGGTGTTAGACAGAGAACTCCTCCGAAACGGATGGAGCGATTTTAATGAAATTTTGTGAGCATATTGACTAGCTCTGAGAATCGGACATCATCTATTTTTAATACCCCCATTAGGGTTGTTCACCCTTAATTTTGTTTTTATTTTCTTATAATGTTGCATTAAAAATACATAGAACCCAAAGTTGTGACTTTTTTTATCACCAACCCCAATTTTTATATGGTAAAACATTATTTGCCGGGTCAGTTAATATACATATGTAATATATTCTATATACTAACGGATATTCTTCAGCCACAGCGTCCCTAACAGCCGATTCTTCGTCTCGTTCTATATGCACGTGTAAGGTGCTCTCTCTTCTAGTAATCTTCATGTTTTCAAGTCTCGCACATCTAGCGGCCGACCACTGCGCCATTTTGCCGAACCGCTCCGATAGAGTTAATCTGTAAAAGATGTTTGGTAATACTTAATGTAGGTATTAAGGTAAGAAAACTCTGTTAGAGTCAGCTAGAAATATGTGTTTTTTATTAAAATACAATTATTAGCGTTTTAATTACAATATGTCATGTTGTATAATTTGTAAAAGTTAAATTAAATACTGTGATTTAGGATTTGGATAAGATGTAATAACCTAAGTCACTCCTTATAACATCAGTGCAGGCCAATAAAAGATCCATCATAATCGGTGTAGGCATTTCAGAGATTATCCATAACACAGACTGACAAAAAATTGTAAATAAAGATCTTATGTATGTAGTGAAAACTATTATTTGAATATCACAATGAGACAATCCAATTATATATCGTCGAGGATAGTGCAAATCCTTGTAATTAGAATTGTTTAATTCCACGTATCTACATTGGAAGCAGATTATCAGAAAAAGTTTGAGATGAAATATTTTCTATATTAATGACTTTTAAGGTAATCTTTTCCAATTAGTAATTATTTACTGTTTAATTTATTACTAATTGTGAAAAATTACCTTAAACTTTCTTCTGATAATCTTCCAATGTAGATATGTGGAATTAAACAATGCTAGTTACTCGGATTATCTATTTGCACTATCCCAAACAATATATATAGCTTAGTCAATCAAATTCTTATATCTATCTATGTTTTATATACCTCTGTGTGGTAGGTTCTTCGCTGGCATCACTATCAGTGTCCGAATCACTATCAGCTAGGGCTGCTGCGATGGCCGCGGGGGACACGCCCCTTGATCTAGGGCGCCGCACACGTCTCTCGCCCTCGCGTTTGATGTGAGACACAGGAATTGGGGCTGCTCGGACAGCTAGTTGGGATCGCTGCCATTCTAATACCTATGAATGAGGATTAATTAATGATTTGTTGTGATTATAATAATAATAAATCACTTTATTTAGAGAACCATATTCCAATTTTACAAACACTTATTATTTTATGAATTTACTAGACTACAAATAGACAAATAAGAACTTAAAAACTAAAAGACCTTAAATTAATATTAATATTATGAGCACAAGCTTGACCACACAATAATCATTAGATTAACAAATATCCTATTATAATGGGTGGTAATTGATATATTTGGTGGCTAGAATTAGTATTTTCTTTACAGTTGATGAGATTTATAGGGTGTGTAACTTAAGTTGAATATTCATACAAAATTAGAGTAAATAAAAAATTATGTGAATTATTTTATAGTTATATATAATACTAGTTTTTGCTAGCGACTTCGTTCGCATTAATTTCGTAATTAGTAATACATGTATAGCTGACTGGACGAACTGTATTCCGATCTAGAGGCCGTAAATAACCAGATATTGGTATTTATTAAGTATATTTATTATTTTTCAATCGAACAGTATTAAATATCCTATGTCCTTTCTATGTTCTAATCTATCTCTCCACCAATCTTCATCCATATCCGTAGTCGTTCTTGAGTTATACATAGTGTAACTAACACGACTTTCTTACATATATATAATATTAATATACCTTTTCCTCCCGACTCCGTTTGCTGCTTTCTCTAGCTTGCAACAGTTCCCGTGTTGGTTGAACGGCGCGAGGTCGTTTAGGTGATGGTGACTTACGTGGACTAGAAAGTAAGATATAGTATGAGTTAGACAATTAATATTAGATATATTAAAGTTTTAAAGGAAACACGGGTTAAGATATTTAGGCAGACCCTGGCTAAAGCTGGGAGGTTGCCAGGAAGATGGGCTAAGCTATTAAGCTAAGGCTGTTGTGTGTGTGTGTGTCAATAAACAGTAATACCCCGCTTATCGCGACCCAGTTAGGCTCGGTTTCACTATAAGGCCAATTTTAAAAATTTATTCAGTTTTGGACATATTGCAGAGTATAGACAATAATGATGACCGTGTCTTGACTGTTTGTCAAACAATCAAAAATTGTTGGGTGTTATGATCGTAAACAAAACGCTACCCAAAAGACAATACATGAATTTTTAGTATAAAATAAGAATATGTATTGCAAGTGTTTTTAGTATTAAAGGGATTGATTAAAATGAATAGTATTTTTTCTATAGTATATTTTGACTATGTTTAATAATAAACCTCGATACACTCGAACTTCACTTAACGCGATGTTTTCTGTGTATTAATATTATATTATACAAATGTATCTACTATATATTCACATTCTTCATCAGTTAGTCAAAATGTGATGTATCACCATTAATAAAGTCCATAAAATATACACATTAATTCTATATCCCCACAATGTACATTATAAGCTTTCCGTCCGCAGCTTCGCTCACGTCGAGTTCGGTTATATCGAGTTTAAAAGAGAACCTTTCAAAAGTCTGGGATAAAAACTATCCTATGTTCTTTCTCAAGGTTAACTCTATCACTGTACCAAAATTCATTAAAATCAGTTCAGTGGTTTAGGCGTGAAAGCGCAACAGACAGAGTTACTTTCGCATTTATAATATTAGTAGGGATGTTCGTCTGTCATATCATATGTAATATACACACAACTATCTTCAATATAAGCCTAACTACATACCCCGGTTTCACATTCTTAGTTGGTGGGGCAGTTTTCTTGTTCTTTGCCGAGCAAACCGAGCAGGATTCATCGGAACAGCTACTGGCTGAGGATCCAGACGGTGACGACTGAAATATTACAAAAATTAAGGTTTAAATTATATTACATTTTCATACATTTGTATTAAATTATTGACAAAATCATTAATAAAAGAGATTTGGACTATAATGTAATTATTGTAATATCTATGAAGGAAAGCCACTTTTGATTTTGTATTTGGTAAAATAAATAGTACTCTTAATAGGAGTTTTAATTGGTATCATAAACTTAGTTTGCAGTTTTTCCTTTATCAATGTTGGTACTTTAATTAAACTTTAATATATATATTAATTTTTTCTATGGCAAATCATGGTTAAGTAACAGACATACATAATTCTCTTCATATATACAGGGTGACTGGTGAATTACTATCAATATTTAAGAAGAATACTTGGTACATGATTCTCATTCGAATTATGTAAAAAAAATAGGTACTTAATTTTTGACCAAATTTCCGTATAAATAAATAAAGTGTGGACACGTTCCAAGTGTTCCAAGTGTGGACGCGTGCGGCGGCGTACTGATACAAAAACACGCCGCTGCACGCGTGTGTGTCTATACCTAATCTGTAGGGTGTTCACACGATGCGTAATTAATTACATAACTTTTGGTTAACTTTACTCAGAAGTTTATTAATATTTATGTTATATTAATTTTTATTTTGTCATATATGATCGTCATATATCACGTCCTCAAGTATCGATAGTAATTCACCAGTCACCCTGTATATATCTTGCCATTATCAATACCAAACTATCTATATTATACAAAAACTGTTAAACACATTTTGATAAAACTTTGCATTATTAAATGATGACATTTAAAATCTAAAATGAGACAATTTTTTAAGATAACCAAGCAAATACTATTTTTAAGACAGTACTAGATAATAAATTATATTGTTTCAATTCACATACATATTTTTAACATGAAAACTTTAAACTAATAATATGTAGTTAAATAGCATAAGTATTACATACACTAAGGTATAAAATATAGTTTCATTTACCTTTCTAGGAGCGGGCGGGCTGGGAGGGCGCGCCCCTCGCGGCGGGGCGGGGGGCGGAGGCCTAGCGCGCCGTGTGCGAGGGCTGGGGCTCCGACGACGACGGATAGGGCTGCGTCTGTAATTAAAGAGATATACAAATATATCATGGTGTATATTATAGGAGGGATATTTTATTGAGTAAGGAATTTGCAAGTTCAGTGAAGATTTGGAACGCAAAACATTATTTTGTGTTTCAAAATGTATCTGTCTAAAACGCTCACAACTAAATTAGTACGTAATATTCTGTTTTTTTTTTCTCATTAAGTGAAATGTAATTTCTTTTGAGAAATAAATGTCTTTAATCACATTTTATGCTATCAGTAATGGCTATGTTTTGTCTGATGAGTGAGAGAGACGATCGACCTTTCTGTTTCCTACATTGAGAGAGAGCTCTCTCAAACAATTAAGGCTGGCAATGCTTCAATATCTCTTATACATATATTGCAATGTCTATGGGTGATGGTAACTACGTTCCATCAAGTAGGCCGTCTGCTAGTTTGCTACTTATATCCTACTAATATTATAATTGCGAGAGTTTGTGAGAATGTATGTTTGTTACTTCTTCACGCTCAAACGACTGAACCGATTTTTATAAAATTTTGCATACAATAAGCTGATGTCCAGGAATAACACATAGGCTACTTTACATCCCGGAAATACAACAACGCGGGGCGCAGCTAGTGTTACTATATAACTCACCTGACAGGGCTTCGCCTCGGACTTCGTCTAGGGCTTCGTCTTTGGCTCCGGGAGCGCGATTTCCGTGGGGAGCGCCCCACCGGAGACCTTGAACGACGAACTATTGGAGATCTGGAACGACGATTTATTGGAGACCTGGAAGAAATAAAATAAATTCATATAACATTTATAAAACTAATATTTAACGGATGTATTACGCGACTATATTTTAAAAAACTACATATTAGCGACGTTTCGGTTACTTTTCAGCAACCGTGATCACGGGCAGAGATGTCAGTTTTTTTATTAAAAAGTCGCTTAAAATATAATAATTACTTACATTTAAATGAATACAATCGTGAAAATCTTAGACCTCATGTAACTTGTTTGACTTTATATAAAACATAATATATATTATATATCTATATATACATAAACAATATGTATATTATAAGTAGTAGTATACTCAGTTGATTATAGAAGTGTCTACTAGTAATGTATAACATATTATAGTAGTATGTATTGTATATAGTTACTTAGTTATTACATAATATAGTTCACATGCCTCTGATATATGTACACATATATTTATATTGACCTTTATAATATAGATATATGTATATATTAATCAAATATATATATTTAGAATATTATATATACATATATACTGTAGATTTATGGTTGAAATAATTAGGTCGTGATATACATATATACAAAAAAATAAATGAGATTCTAAGCAACAGTCAACCCCCTTTATATATGATTAAAAATAAACTTAAATTATTTTTAAGATACACATCCTTTATATATTTTGAAAAATCTATTAATAGGTTATAGGTGATAATTTCAACATTAAATACTACATTCTAGTATTTATAAAATATTTTTTTATATACAAATGTAATTAAAGAGCATGCCCACAACTCCACATTAAAGCAGCGTGGCGATTTATTCTACAAAGCTATAATTTTAATAATTTTGTTATCGGTTCTGTTTAATATAGTATGACAGACCTAGACCGTTTGCCGGGGCTGCGCGAGCGGCGGGGCGAAGCACCCTCGAGGTACAATTGCTTGTAGCCACTGTGGCGCCATCTAGAACGACGATAGTAACTTTGGTTTACAAGTGGCGCCCTCTGTGTCGTACTAATTACACTATAATCTTTACAATTATTATTATGAGTGGTTATAATGAATGATAATACTGAACCATTGTAATGTATCAACATAAGTATCACGTGTTTGTAAACTATCAATACTGGCTTCACACATCTTGTAACACATTACTGGAAGTAACATGAACATTAAGAATTTGCACTACTTCTATTACCAACTGAGTTATTTTTCATTCTATTTGTTTGATCCCACTATCAAATAACTTATAGAAACACTATGATATCGAAAAATTTGCAAAATTACTGTCTTTCATACAAATATCGGTAATAATTAATTTAATTATTAATTCTTACTCTAGTTCTTATAACAAAATCATGTATAAGGAATCCAAATTCCTTACTTTACATGTATTCATTCAAATGAAACTAATAATTTCGGATTAATACTCGTTATTTTACTATTATTAAAAACTTGAAAGACATTCACATCTCGTCTTAATGATCACGATTGTATAGTAATTTAAACATCGGGAGTATGTAGTTTAACAATAATAAAAAAAGCGTAGTAATCCGAATAATATTAGTTTCATTTAGATGTCGTATGTGTGTGTGTGTGTGTGTGTGTGTGTGTGTGTGTGTGTTTGTCTGTGTGTGTGTGTGTGTGTGTGTGTGTGTCTGTATGTATACCTGTTGGGATCTTTCTCCTCAACCTCGAGTAGTTTTCTATCCCAGCTACCGGGCGAGGCTTGTCTCGCTCTCTTCATAACATTGTCAATCTCCTTCCTACGTCCCGCTGGGTTTGACGGATCTGAAGTAAATAAGTTAAAGACTATTATTAATAAGTATAAGGTTATGGGGGTAAACTGCATTTCTTATATATATACTAGCTGCGCCCCACGGTGTTACCCGCGGATTTCCGGGATGTAAAATAGCCTATGTGTTATTCGTGGACGTCAGCTTCCTGTATACAAAATTTTATCAAAATCGGTTCTGCCGTTTGAGCGTGAAGAAGTAACAAACATACACACACACTCACAAACTTTCGCAATTATAATATTAGTAGGATATATATTACCACAAGTCCTTATAGTCTTAATGAGGCACTTCACTCGGCGTAGCGTATTCGCCGCATTTGTCCAAATATTTGTACGTAGTTCAAATATCGCAAACACTACATCCACACTTGGCATGCCAACAACTCGTCTTTACGCATTTTCGCTTATTTGTGTATATGTGTTATTTGTGCAAATATGTCAAATGAAGACGAATAAACCATCCACACATGGTGTTATTTGGCCGAACATAACAAATAAACCCCAAGTGAATTACCCCCTTTACTAGATACATAGAGTTATGAGTTTTAAACTCAGAAACTAACGTATATTTTACGCGTGACAAGTTTTATATATGTAAAATTGAAAACCCTTAGTATTCGTTAATATTCAAACTTGTGGTAATGACCGTAAATAATAATTGAATTATCACGTCAGTGACGTAAAGATTTAATCAACGTATTAAAAATTGATAAGGCAAAGTGTAGGTCAATGACCTTTCTTTTTGGCATGTAATCACTCATACTTATATCTGGTTAATTAATTGATTTTCTATATAAGGGGTATAAGAAATATATTTGTAATAAAATTATTCCAATAAACGCAGAGATACAAAAATTACTGAATTCCCCAGTTGTAAAAACGTCTGCAACGCTATTTTCAAGAGGTCGTAGATTCAAATCCGTGTCGATGACTTTTTTTATTAAAAATTGTCTATTTCAAATTCAATTCATATTTTTCATTTCTTTCATACATTATTCTAGTTTATCTAAAATAATCTACTTAGTGAAATAACCAATAATATATATAGATATGTGTGTGTAGTCAATGGTGGCCTAGTGGTTAAAAGGCCCGCCTCTCATGCACGAGGGCGCGGGTTCGATCCTGGCAAGTACCAATGTGATTTTTCCGAGTCATATGTACTTTATAAGAGTACTTAGACATCACTAAAGAGGGTTGATGTCAGGCAGGCGGCTTCGTTAAACAAATAGCCAAAACTATACACAACATATAAGGCAGACCCTGGTTAAAGCTGGGAAATTGCCAGGAAGAAGAAGAAGATATGTTAGTACACTCACCAGTTATCCTAGAGTGCTGCGGGTTCCTGTCCATGTGCAGCCTGTTCTTGGAGGCTGCCTCCGCGGCCCGAGACACGGAGCCGTTACGACGGGACGACATTCTGTAATATAATTATATGATGTTGATGACCAGAATAAGTTGAAACGAGTTGGTTTTAAGATAGTTATTAAAGGAAGGTTTCTAGAATTGGTTATGGTTTATATATTGTTTTGATTACCAGAATTATTTGAGCCGAGTTGCTTTTGAAACAGATGTTAAATTAAAGACCCGAGTTGCCTATTAGAGTTCCTAGAATACGGTTTATAAACTGTGGTAGTGACTAAAACAAGTTGAGCCGAGTTGGTTTTAAGATAGTTTTTAAAGTAAGGTTTCTACAATTGGTTATGGTTTATATATTGTGTTGATGACCAGAACAATTTGAGCCGAGTTACCTTGTGGCAGCTATTAAATTACAGTTTTTAGAATTAGGTTTAGGTTAGGTTTAAAGAAGTTTATTTCCAAAAAGAACAAAGTTCGCTTACAAAGGAAATTATAAAAAGTTATAACTACAATTAAGATATTACACATAAATAAATAGTAGTGATATTAAACAAGATCAGTGAAATCATCTAATATATGGGTTCTTAATCGTTTTTTAAATATATTTAGAGATTTTGAATTAACAACACTTAGAGGATCCTTCAAATGAAATAGTTTAGAAGTAGAAGAATTGGTAAAATTTTATTTACCATGTTAATGACCAGAAAAAGTTGAGCCGAGTTACCTTTAAGGTAGCAATTACAGTAGTTTCTTCAACTTGGTTAATAAGTTTCCTAAGCTTGGTAGTAACTTAAAATCAGTTAACTAATTAACTATTCCATATATTGACATGTATATGTATTAATACCATTTAAATGGTTCAGATACCAAGAACAGGATTACAGTATTGAGTGTTTGAAATCTGATAATTTTAGATAACTTATGTCTGGTTCATATCAAATAAAATCCGCATTTTCCAGTGACATCCTCATTCCAGGGTGTCTTCCATTCCAGGAATCATGGAAATTGATTTTACTCACCTTTAATGTATATTCCAGATATATTTTATATATTAGTCTTAATAAAGAAATGTTTTTCTAATACATAGTGCAATAGTGAAAGAATGATAGATATAGTTTAATAGGTGGAAAATTTCATAATAATGATTATATTAGTGTATTTTTTAAAGTGAGGAAGGTGCTTTGGTTAAATGAAAAGTTTTTAAGTGTTATTTTTATGACTGGACTAAAAAAGACTTAATTTTAAGTGATTATGTGTATTAAAGATCATTATTAATAGTGATAACGTAACTTGTACATAAATTTTCAAGCATCAAGTTCCGAGAAGATTGACGTTGGCACCAAGATCCTATGACGACGCCAACAAGTCAGTTACCAAGATAAACGTACCGATCGTGATAAATAACCATTGGAAATCCCTTGCATCTACATCCGAACATCGATCTATTTTTACTTTCACAAAATGGCCGACATTTATTGATTTTCCCGACAGCCACTCACCTGATGGAATTTACGAAAACTTACCTCTAATACTCCGTTCTCTACAGGAGCGAGGGCTCCGAACGCGCGCGGCGAGACGCGAGGGGCGAAGCCCCAGGGCGGCGCGGGCTGCGATGCCGCGGGAGGCGGGACTCGATGTCCACCAACGCCGCTGTAACCCAACCGACATACTTAAGATCACGGCATTCGCGCGACGAAAGCGCGGCTTACGCGATAATATAGCGCGACCGGTACATGCCCACGCCAGGCGAACATGCAGCCTACGGGCTAACGCGGCGACGGCCTCGCGACTCAGGCCAGCAACTTTGGTCACCTCCATAGCTTCCTTTGTCATCCTTACGATCCAGAATACATGACATCAACAATCTAAATCCACCTTAATTAATCACAAAACAAAGTTACGAACCAGTAATGAACACGTAAACTTTCACTGACGTTCAATGCTGATGGTTACTCGGTAATAATTCCGCGACACACCTTTCTCGAAGCATCGGCCATTTTGATTTGCATTTTGCACTCGGCATACAAGAAATTAGAATTCTGAAGTTGAAGTTTTGTTTTGACAGGTCATGACAGTACATTTCTTAATGTGAAAAACGTTTCGTTATCCGATAATATCCTACCTAGTTAATGCCTAACATTTTAATGTTTAAAAAAACTTATATATTTTAGAGTGATTTATAATAAGTACGTTAGAAGTTACAAAATATTTCTTTTCTATATAATCATCAACTTTTTATATATTTCATTAATAACTTGGCAACATTACTAACTAGTGTATGACATTAAACGATAGTGAGGTGTCAGTGTACGATAAACGTCCATTTTTGATTTATCGATATATCTACTTTAAGTTATACTGTTTTACTGATTTCAAAAGTAACAAAAAAGTTTATGAAGCTACTTAGGTCTTATTTCATATATTTTTGATGATAGGAAACCAAGTACTTTAAATAAATACTAAATACAAATATTAAAGGTAAGTTTAAATACAAAAGATGGAAAAACAATTGATTTTAAACCTTATAATTCATAACAGATACTCGTTATTTGCTTTGACTTTTTAATTTCTTTATTGCGTTTTGTTACATTACAAATATTGCATTTTCCTAAGTTCCCAACACTTAATACACCTTAAATTTAAAAATATATTAGAATAAGTTTTTTATATACTTTTATTTTATAAAACAAAAAGAATTTGAAGAGAATTTTTGCTATCTGATTTTTTACACACCTAATTATTAAGTACAGTATATTCGTATATACGCAAAGTTATTTCCATAAATACGTCCAACGACCAAGAAGTATGCAAACCTATTTGTCATGTCAAAAAAAAACTTGCGTCTGTAGAGCTTCCGCCCTTTTTCTATTTATATAAATGTCCCTTCAATCGTTAAAGCAGGTAGATTTTTTCTTATAATAATAATGACTTTCTACAATTCTTACGCACGGATACCAAAATATAGACCTTTTAAATGTTTTTTTTTTTTTTTAATACAAGTCAGTTAGGTTCACAGATTTTTTAATTTATTTGTAATGTGACTTAAAGTTATACAGAAAGGAGTTCGATATAGTATGTAAACTTTTTTGGTAGATAAATCTTTTTACAAAAGTATAGAAGAAAGGATTGAAAAGTATTAATAATATATAATGAGTTTTTCTTCCATATAATAAGTCTATTTAATATATTGTTTATTATTTGCATTCAAATTAATTAACAACTATAATTTAATACATAAGTAGGCATACTATTAAAAATATTAAATAATACGTGCATAATGTTACAGCAGTCACATCAGAACGAACATCTATATACTTTACGAATCTCTCAACTACCTCTGAGCCACGAAAGTACCTTAAAACGATTACGATCTGTTCATCACAGCTTTATAAAAGTTATTTAAATAGGAATATCCAAATAATATTCAAACATTCTTATTATTATCATTTGAAAACAACAAACAAGGCAAACAAAATAACTTTTTTTGTGTACACAACCTGCTTATTAATTAAAACTATCATATCAAAACGAATAACATTACCTTTTTTTTAGTCCAATCTCAACTGGTCACACACATTGACTTTACAATTATTTTAATTTTATTATAAAACGATATATAGTCAGTGGTGGCCTAGTGGTTAAAGGGTCCGCCTCTCGTTGCCGAGGGCGCGGGTTGAAACCTGGCAAGTACCAATGTGATTTTTCGGAATCATATGTACTTTCTGAGAGTATTTAGACATCACTGACATACGGTGAAGGAAAACATCGTGAGGAAACCTGGACGTATAGTTTCACAATTATAAGTTTGAAATCACCAACCCGTCTTGAGCGAGCGTGGTGATTAATGCTCTAACCTTCTTCATGTGAGAAGAGGCTCAGCAGTGGGCTCTGATAGGCTGATGACGATGACGATAAAACGATAAGATTGAAAAGCTACTCGTAATTAATTTCTTTTAACACCAGCACAGAGCTCACAGATATAATTTTCCATAAATCGTTGATATATTCACAAATAAGCTATTTAAAAATTATTCACTTGTTTTGATAAAGATAATAATAAGTCAAGTTGTTATATGGTTGGGGTAAGCGGTAATCAATGATGATTTGAAGCATTTATCGTGTGCCCAGCATTGAGAAACGTACAGTTGGGCGTCAGTAACGAATAGTTTAGCGTCAGTAACGTACAGTTTAGCGTCTATATAACTTTATTCTAACTTCATTATACAGGGTGACTGGTGAATTACTATCGATACTTGAGGACGTGATATTTGACGATCATATATGACAAAATAAAAATTAATATAACATAAATATTAATAAACTTCTAAGTAAAGTTAACCAAAAGTTGTGTAATTAATTACGCATCGTGTTCACACCCTACAGATTAGGTATACACACACACACACGCGCGTGCGGCGGCGTGGTGTTGTATCAGCACGCCACCACACGCGTCCACGCTTGGAACGTGTTCACACTTTATTTATTTATACGGAAATTTGGTCAAACATTAAGTGCCTATTTTTTTTACATAATTCGAATGAGAATCATTTACCGAGTATTCTCCTTAAATATTGATAGTAATTCACCAGTCACCCTGTATACCTTTTACATAATGAATTTACGAACAGAGTTTTATAATCATGAGTACTGCGTGGAGTTTTAAGGATTCACGAAGTAGTTTCTTGAATGAAATGAAGTCTTTAAAAAAGACTAGTTATATTTTAACAAGCATTTATCCAATCCATATATTTCTTAACTTGTATCTTCACTATAAATCATCTGTCAAACGAATAGACATTGTAATTTAAGATAATTTATTCGTCATAAATAATAGTTTAAGCTTTAAGTATTTCCTGTGTGCTCGTGTCGGTGTGAGCGAGGTCGATAGTCGATTAATCGGACGCACGTGATGTATCGATACATCGATTTTATTAATTCTTAAAATATTTCAAGTTTCATAGTTGAAGGTCATCTTTGTCAAAAAAATAAAGAAAATTTTTGTCTATGGATCTTAATAATTGTGTCAATTAAGACTTGAACTTAAAATTTTAAATTGTTATAATGACAATTTTTCTGTATTGATTATATTTTTGAAAAGTATTTCATTAATTTTAAAAATAGTTTCAGAAAGGAATTGGTTATGTAAAATGCCAATTGTAAGGAGATCTAAGACTTTTGCGAGTATTCATTTCAATATGACTAATATTTTTAGATATACTATACTACGTCTTCTTATTCTACCCAGCTGTATCCAGGGTCTGCCTTACATGTTGTGAATAGTTTTGGCTAATTGTTTTTACGACCTTCCGCCTGCCTGACATCAACCCTCTATGGGAATGCATTAATCAGTGTCTTAATACTCTTATAAAGAACATATGACTCGGATAAATCACATTGGTACTTGCCAGGATCGAACCCGCGCACTCATACATGAGAGGCTGGTCTTTTAACCACTAGGTCATCACTGACTTTTTCGATATACTGCGTATTCTATTATTATTATCAAAATTCTAGTGTTCCAGTGATCACGGTTGCTACAAAGTTACGGAAACATCGGGAGTATTTAGTTTAAAATAATAAAAACACTATAATACATCCGAATATATAAATTTTAACTTAAATTTGGACATAACACTTTAAATGTATCAATACCAAGTAATTTTTTAGTTATTTTCGTCGCCATTGTGAGTGACTGCTTTCAAAAATTTAGTTGATACATACGTGAGTCTTGGCTAGAGATTAAATCAACAGCATTAAGAACTAATAGACCATTGAATACATTCATAAATCATTTGATGAAACATCAATCAGACGTTGGACTTTTAAAGATGAGAACTAATCCCTACTAATATTATAAATGCGATAGTAACTATTTCTGTCTGTCTGTTACGCTTTCACGCCTATACCACTGAACTGATTTTAATGAAATTTGGTACAGAGATAGAGTAGACCTTGAGAAAGAACATAGGATAGTTTTTATGCCAGACTTTTGAAAGGTTCTCTTGGAAACGCGATATAACCGAACTCCACGCGGGCGAAGCTGCGGGGGTAAAGCTAGTTATATATAAAAGAAAGTCGTCTTAGTTACTCTATTTATAACTCTAGAACGACTGTACGGATATGGATGAAGATTGGTAGAGATATAGATTAGGACATAGAAAGGACATAGGATATTTAATTCTGTTCGATCGAAGAAGAAAACTACTAAATAAATTCCAATATCTGATTATTTACGTCCCCTAAGACGGAATACAATTCGCACGATCGGCTATACATATATTACTAATGAAGAAATTAACGCGGACGAAGTCGCGGGAATAACTAGTTTATATTAAATAAGTACATATATAATTCTACTGCACGTGTGTATGTCACTGAACTCCTAAACGACTGGTATGGTATTTTTATATGTATTTATCTATACTAATATTATAAAGCTGAAGAGTTTGTTTGTTTGTTTGATTGTTTGTTTGAGAACGCTAATCTCCGAAACTACTTGTTCGAATTGAAAAATTATTTTTGTGTTGGATAGTCCAGTTATCGAGGAAGGCTCACAGCTATATAACATCACACTACGACTAATAGAAGCAAAGATATAGTGGTAAATGTGTAAAAAACGGGAGAAATTATTTCATCTTTGAAGCCTTCCGTTGCGTGCGCCGTGAAAACGATTCAAGATACACAAAAAATATGTATTAAAGAATAATAGCTCTTTTAATGATCTAAAAAACAGTCCGCGACAATATATGTCTATCTTTTAATCTTACTCACAAAAACCGTTTTTATGGTACCTAATTTTGTCGAAATAATTTGTTTAAGTTGTATCAACATAA